CTCACTCTCATGTAACTAAATCTTTGCATTACCAGAGGAGCTACTGCTCCTCTCGTCTTCCATAGTCTTAGACTCAGATAGGACGTTAAACCAATAAAGTAAAATAAATAAATAAATAAATAAAAATCAGCCAGGTCTGACACAAGCCATGGCTCTTGCACAATGACAAGGTCAATGGCCAGTCTTACGATCCATGAACAACTTGCAAAACAACACTGAACCAACAGGACTACGCAACAAGATGAGAGCAGCCAAGGAATTGCAGTATTGATTGACCAAGCTGTGAAGCTGCGTCAGTGATACCCAGTATAATCAACACTTGCAATATCTGTTATACGAACCGAGATTGTACAAAAAGGACTGCAGTGGATACAACGTGGATCTCGTACACAAACGATTGTCACGGACCCATATACCAACCCACTTGCAGAGGACCCACGTTGACAATGATCAATAGGACACCGAGGACCAAGTATTGAGGTCACGACAACAACGCTCGATTGGACCGAGTATCAAGTCACTGATGATACTTGATATGAGCAGTACAATCAATCCTCCTGTCAAGTATATAAGCAAGTAGACATGCTGCCCTTATGGCATTGTGTTCAACCTCGTCAATCAACTTTGTTATTTGAATCTCACCTGCTCTTGAGCCAGACAGCATACTCTGTACTACTCATTGCAACCAGTCGCCATGGTCTTTGACTAGACGACTACCCCCTGATTATCACGGAGGTTTATCACAGTCAAACCTCTGCTGCTCCGAGCTCGCTCAGTGATAACCAACCCCTGACGGCTTTCTGTACCTCTGCTCATCCCCGAGAACCAATCGAATAGTGTCTACGAGCTTTGCTTAAGACACGACTTCAACAGCCAGCTCCACAGCCACCTGAAGAACGCTTTCTGTAGCCTGCACATTCTTGTTCAGACGGAGAGTTGACGTTCATAAATCAAATCAGTGGGGTTGCGTTACACCAAATTATGTCGGATTAAAGCGAGGATTTGCTAGCTCGAGTTCAAAAGATACAGGGGATTCATCGAGTCATAATCCAACAACTGCAGACTTGCTCTTGACGCAAATTGCTGCACTGAAATGCGCCCAGGGCCTCCAGGCATCTGTTTGATCCTGTGAGTGTAGAGGCGAGATTGTGCATGGTTGTCGAGGTGACCGATGTCGCTCAACCCAACGTCAAACAATGGCTGCATAATGCTTGAGCGGTGCAGTTGACGAAGTTGATCGCTCGAAGAGACTGCCTATCATGTAAGTCTTGAAGTCGAGGACATCAGTCATCCAGTCGTCGAGGTCGATGCATGCCATAGTGTGGGTTAGCAGAGCAAGCGTGTCTCTGTGAAGATCAGTGCCAGTCCTTGCACAAAGTTTGTGGGGCGGAGAGCGCGACTGACATGAGACATAATGACCAAGTCGTAAGATGTGAGGATCTTACCTTGTAGCCAAGCGCTGGACCAGCTCAAGATCTCGCTCATGCTGGCCTGCAATTATATAGGCCCAACGCATATCGATCTTCTTCCACCAGCGATTGGGCAGATAAGCCTCCAGCATGTAGTATTCGTCGCGCTGGTAGGGGAATTCGAGGCTAGGTGGACCATGTTTCGACAGAAATGCATCTGTACCTGCGGCTGCATCTTCTTCCGTCATGTCGACGTGAGTGCGTTTGTTGCCCTTGTTCTTTGAGTGCCGTTTGATAGAGCGGACCGTACTGTCGAGATGCATCTCCAATATGCGGGCATGCCACAGCGAGTCTTCCACAGCCCTCCGTGCAATCCGCGCATTACGCGCCACGAGCTCGCTGTTCCACTCAGTCGTTTGTCCTCGCGGCATAGTAGGTATAGGCACGCCATTGTCGAGATTCGATTGCCAATGTGCGAAGTCGAGCACCAGCCCTAAGTTGTTCCACGTGAGGATACAGGTAAGGCAAGTGCACAGTTGTTGGGCATCAGGTGACTGAATGTGCTGGTAGGGGCGCCTGTGGATGCTGAGCTGCGTCTGGCGGCTGGAATCGGTGAGGAGATCTTGTATGGAGGGCTCGACATCGCGGAGGAGCTTCGGCGTAGGAAAGCATTGCGCGAGAAGGGTGTAACGGCGCTCGATTATGACGTCGCCAATCACTCGGGAATTGGCAGTGACTAGGGCGTGGAAGCGGCGGTTCGCGAAACTGAAGTTGAAGACTTCGCGCGGCGACATGTACGTGAGGCACTCCAGGAGGAGCTCAGTGGGCAGCTTGGTAAGGTTGACGATGGCGTCTTTCTTTTTTTCGCGGACTACTTTGCGCCGCTGCATGCGCTCTGTGCGCTTCGACTTGAGGGACAGCGCTGCCGTACGGTCCTCCAGTGGTTCCTCGCTATCGCTGTTGCTGACGTGTCGCGGCATCTCGGGTTGGGTGTTGGTGTAAGTAGACGTCTAACAATGTTCCTACATGTTTGTGAAGCTTGAGGACTGGAAGGAGCTCTCGCGTGGCGTGCGGGGCAGCCGCACGTCAGAGTCTGGTTTTCGTCGCGGACACTCGCTGTCTCGTTTGCTCATCGTTTGTTTTCTTTCCAGGCAACCGGCAATATCTCTTGCGGTCGAAGTGACGTAACACTACTGCTGTGCACAATGCACTTTTTCTTTCTGCCTTACAAATCGCAACATAGCTGACTAAGCATCAACAGCTCACGGCTGCACGCACCGCAACCCTCGCCTCCGTCGGTCTTCCTATGCTTCCGATTGGCTCAAACCGGTCGCCTCGGCCAGAACTAGCCATGACGCCATCCCAGCATTTATAAGCGAGTCATCACTGCCTGTGTACATATACTTAGTACAGCTCCATCTGATTTGTAGACACCAATACACAGAGAGATATACCCAACATGACGACAGCCAACTTTATTCACATCGATACCAACTCTTATACAGGGAAGCCTTGGTCCAAGGTGGACGGTCCTGGCCAGAACTTCGAACGCAAGAGCCATTCTCGACAAGTTCACAACCTGCGCGGCAGAGAGCATGAGTTCACCACCGACAACTCTGGATTTGCAGTCTACAACTACCCCGCTAAGGAGAAGTCCTTTACCGACGATGTCGCTGTAAGAGCGGGCTACTACCAAGAAGTTGAGGGCTTGCTACGCGACAAGATGCCAGGCATCAAGAAGGTCCACATCTTCGACCACACAATTCGCCGGAGAGTGAAGGACTCTGCGCGCCAGCCCGTACAACAGGTTCACGTCGATCAGACCCCAGCGGCAGCCGAAGCTCGTGTTCGCCGCCACATCCCCCAGGAAGAGGCCGATGAACTTGTGAAAGGGCGTTACCAGATCATCAACGTATGGAGGCCAATCGAGAATCCAGCATCAGATCACCCTCTTGCGGTCATCGACTGGCGGACCACATCTCCCTCGGACTTTATCGCTACGGACCTTATGTACCCTCAACGTGATTCGCAGGATGCCGACGATGATGACCGTGGCAAGGAGGTCCTACCTGATCCGAGCAAGTACAACTCCACTGAAGGTTACGAGGTCAAGGGAGAGACCATGGGCGTAGCACCAAACGACAACCACCGATTCTACTACCAGAAGGATATGACACCAGATGAAGTACTCCTTCTCAAGTGCTTCGACTCTTACGGCGATGGTATGCCTAACGGTAAGAAGGGCATTGCTGTGCGGACTCCACACACTGCTTTTGACGACCCGCAGACTCCGAAGGACGCACCAGGCAGGCAAAGCATCGAAGTGAGATGCTTGGTTTTCTATGCGTAGCGCAGCATTGTCAGTACATATGATATCCTAGTAATCTATTGCTCTGTGGCCAAGTATCTATCCTTTTTTTCATACGCTCTGACTGGCATCCTTTACTTCGTTCAACGCGTAACTCAGTTCTCAGTCCACAAATCGATGCGATGCTTGACAGAAGACATTGCAACAACAAATGTCACACGCTGTCAAAATCTTAACTCAGGTCACTTATGCCTGGACTGATCCATTTTACCCTCACTTCCCCATTCTGCATCGTGGGGGAGCGAGCAAAGTGAGCTAAGTTTCGGGGGTTAGTTTAAGGTTTCGCTTCCGCACATCCAAACACCTTCGCGTCTGGACAACGAACATCCGGGGAGTTTAAGCTGCACGCGCCACAAAACTATGCGACACCACAGCTCAAGCATCGGCACATCCATGCTAACACACTTCAAATGCCCCCAAATGCCGGGAGCAAGCGGTCGATCGTTGGTGCCCTGTCCAATGGCCTGCCGCAGCCGCCGCATCTTGAAACGTTTCCATTCTCACAACTGTCTCCAGAGCGTCGAATGCGCCTTCTTCTGTTCCTGAGACCCATGTTACTTCTCTCGGGAGTTTATCATCCACGAACCGCCCGTTCTTGCGGCGATTTGTGGTTCTGCTGGCCGAACCATCGCTTCTATGGACCTACTTCCACAGCATGCTTGAGCCACGAAGGCCTATTACACCAGTACAGGTACTGGATCGCTATCTAGTACGCAGAAGTAACTTCACAGCAAGTGATGACCCTAATGAGAAAGGAAGAGAAGGTCTGGTGGGTGCAGATGGGAGGTCAGGGGGGCAGCCGGGGGAGGTATTGAAGGGGATCAATAGGACAAAAAGCAGCACAGGGCAAGAGCAACCACGTCCGACATTCGCAGTGCCATCTGCATTGCAATCATCACCCAGTTTACGAATAACATACACCATATCCGTCCGAACAACACCATCGGCGACTTCGATACCCGAGGGCGGCGCAAGAGTCGAGATCGAGTCACTACCGGGACAGAACCAGAACAAGCCAAATCTCGACGATGCAAGAATCGAAGCTCCAGCACTGCCCGGTGTAAATCAAGACACTTCTAACATGGGCGAGGTACTAAAGCCTGGGTCGCCAGCCGCGGCTGGTGCTCCAGAAAGACCATCAAACGCGCCTGCCATCACAGTGAACAAACCACTTCCCGGACAGAATCAAGCGAATCCAGTTATGGGCGAGGCACCTCTACCCGTGCCACCTCTTCCAGCACTTGCGTTGCCGCCTGCTCCGCCTATCCCGCCTCCATCGCCACTCGTCACTAGTTCAGCATCTGCACCGTCCTCATCGAATGAACCGTCAGTATATTCGGTGCAAACTGCAACGACTTCAACATCTCTATCGACTTCAGCAGCATCGACTCTAACCCCCTTGGCCTCTTCCTCTAGCTCGTTCACTCTATCATCAGTCACATCCTTCGTCAAACTCACACGATCAGAACAAGGCAAGGAGGAAGCTCCGGTCACACTAGCACTGTCGAACACAACAACATTGTCCGCCACTAGTACTAGTGTCATTCCGGCAGACAATGCAACTCCACAAGCAATTGCAGTCGCGCAATCTTTCTCGGGCGCCTTGTCATCGATGACTGCCATCGCCGCAGCGACCTTGACACCTACTGCTATACCAAATAACCAGGATGGAAGCATTCTGCATCCGACTGCAAGGACGTTACTGATCCTGTTTGTCATCCTTGGTAAGCTGCAAATTCAATGTTCTGCAGTTGAAAACCTTCTAACCACCGAACAGGTGCACTCTCAATCCTTGTCGCCATTGTGATCTTTATGATGATCAGGTCCCACAAGAACCGGTCACGAGCGCAGAGACAAGCGGCGATGAACCAAAATCTTTACGATGCTCCAAATGACCGCATCGGGGTTACCACGCACATCTCCGCAGACCCCAACGACAACCCTTTCCTGACAGCAAGCGAGAAGGCTATCATCGACAGAGCCGCCTCACCCGATGGTGCAGCAGATGCGAACAACTCGTCGAGTTTTTCGGACGCCATTAGCTCCTTCATCAAAAAGTCGAGAAGTGTGGCGTACAAGATCTCGCCTTGACCTGCGTCTCAGCGCATAACCGTAGGTCAGAGAGCTCAGGAGATTTGGGGAGGGTCGCGCATGCTGTGAATGAATGTAGATACGAACTTCAACAGTACATAAATCTGATAGTAATCAATATCGCACTGCGCAAAGAGTGCTAATCATCTTCCGGCCGCTCAGACTATCAAGCCCTTCAGCCGGCGAAGACATCAACCATGACCCTCTGATCGAATTTCAAAACCCGTTGACATGGCACTTAACATACGAATTCTTTGTCAAAGCCATGTTACCAGCATGGGTACTTATCTAGTGCCTCATCGATCGAACGATAGTAAGCACGCCCAGGCGCTACACACCCTTGCTTCCACCTCGTTAACTAATAACGTTAACCCCAACACCACCAACCGGTCTTGACAAAACGTAGCCTGGCGTGCCTGGCGCAGCCTAGTCACTGCAACTAGGTCGCAGATTCCACACGAGGTTAGCGAACGCTAGTGCTGCGTTCGATACTTGTAAGTTACTTCCATTCTGGGGGAGTTTGGGATGCTTGCAGCCTTGCGCTCGTACATCGCACATCGCGCCTGCCAAGCATGAGGTGCATGTGTAAGTGTAAGTCGCGGAATGTACTCGCGCTTCGGGCTGCGACAAAGAGACGGTAGATTATGTTCTCATAGCCTGTATTTATACTCTGCATCCCAGGAGGCATTCGACGCGGTGACAGTTAGCATGTCGTGAAAGAAGTTTGAACGATAAAATCGATGTCAAACTACGCGCAGGCTATGATGAAACGCATGAAATCAAAAATTTCATTCGGGAATCATCGGCAAGTCCCACAAAGGTATGATCAGTCTCCATCCATAACGAAGTACGATGCAATCCTGTCTTAGTCAGCAGAACTCAGCAGCTAGCCATGGGAACTTACGCAATGATAGTATAACCAGCACACAAGCACACGCCCTTCAGTACCGAACACCTACTATCGAAAACTAGCATCAAGAATAACACTGAGCTTGCAGCAAGTGCGACGGACTCAAAAGGCGTGAAGTGCAGACTCATGTCTCGATCAATACCCCATGCGATGAGCACGACCAGCGGTGTAACGAACAGTGCAATCTGGATCGCCGATCCAATAGACACAGCAAAAGCTAGGTCTATTTGCTTGCGCGTTGCGAACAAAATACCAGACACGAGCTCTGCGGCGTTGCCAACGATGGGCAGGATGATGAGGCCGACCATAGTCTTGGAGATTGGGGATTGGGCCGCGAAGTGATCGACGCGAGAGACCAGGTTCTCACTACAAATTGATATGAGTGCTGTGGATCCGATGAGGAAGATGATTGGTGTCGTTCTCTGCACCCATACTGAGGTGAGTATGAGTTCTGTTGCTGGTGAGATTTTGCCAATTATCGACACAGCAGACGCTGAATATGAGGTGGTTTGTGCGTCGGTGTCGAATGAGTCGTAGCTTTTCGAGTCGCTTAAGCTCAGCAATGGGGGCGTTGCCAAAGGTCTTCGTGGGTATGACAGATTCCGGCAGTGCGTGCTGGCCCTTCCAAGCTCAACTGAATCCACCATGCCAGGTTCTTCCGGATCGTCAAGTTGGATCAGCGGTTTATATGCGTATTTTGCAGATCGAATTTGCGTCCAAAGGTAGAGAAAGTAGACGATTATCAGGACGATGGATGTTGCTCGACTCAAAGCTGTAATCTTAAATGCGATCGCTGGATCTTCTGGTTTGGGTTTTAAGGTTGACTAAAGGGATGATGTTAGCTCCTGAACGATATCCAGCCTCAGAGTTGGCTTACTGCAACCAACAGACTGACTGTCGTCAGACAGAGTAAACCTGCGGCTACTCTTGTAGCCAACACATTGTACACTTGTCGTCGTTCTCGGCCCTCACCCGTCAGAATGGCAAGACCGAGCACTAGCAGGATATTGACAACGATGGAACCTAGGAGCGATGTTCGAACGATGATGTATTGTCGGTGAACCAGAGCTTGACTGCTACTATTAGCTGCTGCCAGCGCAAAGCTAATCTTTGGACTCACATAAAGATAACTAGCTCGGTCAGGTTTCCCATAGTCACATTGACCAAGGCACCAGTTGTCTCGCCCATGAAGCTTGCCACGCTCTCGGTAGCCTGGCACAGCACATCGGCAAGCGGCATAATTGCAAAGCAGTTCAGTATGAAGATTGCCGAGTCACTTAAGCTGACGAACGGAGCTGCAACAGCGAGAGGCACGAAGAGCAGCATCATTCGACTCCAGAATTTGATCGAGAACCTTCGGGCAGCTGTCAAAACCTTGAGGATTCGTGGGGCATCATTGTTGTCGTCTGAAGAGGGTGTGGGAAAGGACGTGTACAGTCCGTGATATGTGTCGTGTGCCTTGGTTATTCATTAGAAAAGCTTTTGGAATGCCGAGAGTCGCTGAACGACTTACTGAGTTTGATGGAGACACGACACTCGGTCTTGCGTCAAAAATGTGATACCCCTCCGTTGGCAGTGTACCGACAACGCTGTCGTCACGTCCGTTGTAGATGCAGTCTTGATGGTCTGCAACAACAGATGCATCGTCGCAGGTGTCGGTAGTTTGCATCGCTTTTTCCGTCCACTTTCCGATGTGCAGCGTTGGAAGAATCGATGGTGGTTGAAGGTCCAGATGGCAGCGGATATTCACCAAGAGCTATCTTAGAGTCGACCTTATCGTTGTATGACCACGAGGAATGCCATCAGGTAGGAGACTCAAGCCGAGACTAGACAACTTGGGCAAGCCTAAGTGAGTCCTCTCGCCTACCTCGGCGCGTGCGTGATGTTGTGCGCGATTTTTGGGTTCCAGGAGCAGACTTATTTGCAAGTTCACACGACATGATGATCTGGCAGTAAGTGCTCGGTTGAGTAGGGCACTCGACAGCTGCAAATACGTTGCTTCTGCCATTTCAGGTCTTTTACAAACTTGACAGCATCCGGGGCAGTAGATATGGAAACGTTTATTTGTACGGAGGAAGAGGAGGCGCGCGTGTCGAGGCTGTGGGTGCATCTCTGCATCTGGAGATTGCGGCACGTTGACAACGGACGAAAATGCCTCAATGTCGGTGGCTGACAAGTTTATCGCATGCCGCGGTGCAACAAGCAGCGAGATTTACCATGAGATGCTCCGGAGACACCAAGATTACATCTGATGATGTTTCGGATGTCATTCAGCCTGCGGCAATCAGAGACGCGGTGTTGCGTGCGAGAGAGCTTGATAACGGAAGGACTGCACGAGTCAGCAACAAGATCGTCGCTCAACGTGTTTGTCGGTCGCATGGTGTGAAGGCAAGCTTTCCCATAGCATGATAGCCCTTGCTTGTCTGCCAGGTATGTGAGAGCGGGGACATGGAATAGGCACACATGCGGAGGAGAGTCAGTCGCTTGCTGTTTGGTGGGGTCCGAGCGATTCTCGTCAAATAATACTCCTGACGGATTCCCTATTTATCCTCTGTAAAGTATCGCCATCGTGACCTAGTCAATAGTGCTTCGCTTGTAGAGCACATTGCCGTGATGCTCGACGTGAGGTTGGTGGTCGGTGAAGCCAGGTGAACGAACCGTGAGTCCGTGCACGGAGGAAGCTCTTGCCTGTCTGACAGCCTACCACTTCTTCCAACACTCTAACACTACACAAAGTCTGCAGGGTCGAAAAATATCACCACAATGATGTGGCCATGGGCATTGTAGTGTACGAGCTATGAGTTGTTTCAAGAGTCTGGTAATGCAGAGAATTACTTAGTTACAGGAGTTTGGCTTCTATGAAAGTACAAGGATTGGTGAGGGTCTAAGTGTGAGGTCACTGTAGACAGGGGACTGGATATGGGACGAAAGGGTATGTTGTAGTAAGTAGATAGACAAATCCTTAAGGGGTCAGCCTTGGAGATTTGAGGTGGCTATATACTCTCTGTCACGGTTCAGGGTACTCTTGCCTTTTGAACCTCACCTGCCATGAGAGTGACTGCCACGTCACACTAGCGTTTTTTACAGCTACTCACCTCTATGTACTGTCCGTAGCTTCACCCAATACATCCCCAGTTCAATCCTTCAATTCTTCCCACAGTGTACTGATCACTCACGATCCATGCCCCAACACTCTCAGTCTCAGAGGTTACCCTCCAAGGTCCTGGTGGTGGCCTGTATGGGTCCTGATATATAACCATAGGTCAGAACATCCGTGACACTAAGCCCTGGTGTTTGTTGTTGTGTGAGGGCTCTGACAGAGCTCCTGTAGCTGGTGTGGCAGCTCAACAAAGCACAGTTGGTGGGGATGGGTGTAGGAGATTTGTATGTGTCACGAGCAGGTTCCTTCACTTCAATAGCCCCCCCCCCCCTTCCCAGGGAGCTCTTGGGTTATAAAGACCCGAGGATGCCCTCTCTTAGGAATCTTAGCGGTTCAATCAATCACTACCGGTGATCTACTGATATCTGCCTATTGTGTCTGTCCATCCAGGCCGTTTTTTATACTGCCTCTATTCCTCCACACTATAGAAGGCATCAAGGCCGTCCATAGTGTCAGACTCACATAGGACATTGAACCAATCAATCAATCAGTCAAGGCATCAAGGCCACTCTGGCTTTCATCAGCAGGACCAAGGTTAGCACAAGGAGATGGCATTTTGGACAGCATATAGAAGACCTGGCATAGTGGTGCCCTGCATTGCTGCACTATAGTCTCTTTCCTTTCTAGCAACTTTGCTTTGGGCCTGTGCCTTCACCATTCCTTGTATCTTCATTTGACTCAACTTTTTGTAACCAAATCTCTGTATTACCAGAGGAGCAGTAGCTCCTTCGTCTTCCATAGTCTCTGGCTCACATATGACGTTAAAACAATCATTCATGTATTCATTAATCATTCATCCGTCCCAGTATGAAGATACTTTACTCGTAACGAAGCTCGCACGCGTGGCAAGCATCTGCGCGGGACGCTCAACACCTTGAAGTTGGCGGGTTGCTTATGATGGTGGAGGCAGAGTATATGAGGCAGAAGCCAAGCTTGCTGGACGCTCTTTGACAGCGCTGTGCAGAGCTTCATCCGGGGGACTGATATCTCGGCTGATGCTAGGGATATAAAGGCGTTTGAGGCTTCGCATCCTGGGGTCAGTTGGAGGGAAGCTCACGAAGTCGTAATGAGGATTAAGGAGTCGCATGCTTTGTGATGGAGGATCATCTGCGAAGCGAGTAAGAAGTCGAAGAAGGAAGTGGTACTTCGGAGTCTGCGCAAAGCATCGCTTCATCGCTAGAGTAGGTATTTGACTCGAGAGGTACATTTTGGTTCGAAGACTCAGTTGATGGAGTTTCACGAGTGTCTTAGTGTTCTCTGTCGCAGTAGGCCATTGAATCTGCAATGACACCAAGTAAGCCGAGCTTATGTATCAGTATACTTTTGAGTGTGTTGAGCAGCGCCTGAGTGATGGTGCATTGCTACGATTCTCGGTCGGTTCTTCACTCAATTTCCATCGCGTCCGCCTGTTCAGCTTTCTTCTTCAGCCTCTCCCTCTCCTTTCTCGATCTTCTTCTCTGGCTCTCGTTCTTCCCACTCTTCTTCCCTTCCAGCCTCTGTCCACGGTACTCTTGAATTGTCATGCCTCTCCGTTCCGCGGCAACAGTTTTTTGCTCGGTTGTGACTATCTTAGACTGCTCCTTGGCAAGCTTGCGTGCTTGCATCTTAGCCAGATTTTGACGCTGGCGTTTCGCTGAGACAGATCAGGGTTTTGCGAAAGGAGAAGATGAGATACGGGGTACAGGATTGGAAAGTGAGTTGAAGGGCTGTGAAGGTACATACACATCTTAGGTCCCGTCGAGGTAGGGTCGACTTGCATCTCCAGATCGCCGTCTGTTTGAGTGTTTGCTGCATGAAGTGTCAGATCCTGAGCGAATCTTTGATCCTCTGATGGGGATGCTAGACTGATCGGCTTCCTTCCTTTCGCTCGCTTGACTGTACGTACCTGCACGTGTGCTCGCAGCTAACCCAGGAGGCTTCGGCTCATCTTTGTTGTGGAACGCAGTGCCTAGAAGATCTCCGAGTTCGTCTGCGAATGCACCAAATTGCCTGCGCTCCTTCCTCTTTTTGGTCTTGCTGAGACCTTGCCGCGTTGGTGAAAGGCTCCGCCCACTCGCGTCTGATTGATCGCTATCGCTGGCGTCTGAATCCCGGTTCTCACCGTCGCGGAAATTGCCCAGCTTAGCTGGCGCAAGTGCAGTGGGTGCAGTAGACGTTAAACTTGTTGTGGGAAGCGTTGAAGACATGTTGTGTATGTGTTGTGTGGCTGTTTGAAATGTCCGAAAAATTGTTTGGGAAAGGTTGAAGTGAGGGAACGAGTGGAAGGTGCGAATGCCGAAGATGATCCGTCGTCTCTGATTCGTTCATTTACTCTACCATTATCGAGACGTACACTTGCTCCGAGTGCGCGCTGCGTGTCCATGCCTACGTATCTACCATCTACCTCTGTTTTCCCGGCTTTTGAAAAAAAGCAATGCTATGCAAAATGCCGCCCAAACCTACTGCAAAATATGGATGTGAAGAGTAAGTCGAATCAATGCGCAATGATAGATGATGCATCATACAGAGGCTGAAGAAGAGAAGATATGATATGATGTCAAGGAAATTCGTAAATCGTAAGTGCATGTGCGTGCAGACACTCTTGTCGGTGAGGCTCGCAGCCCATCCTAAAGCGCCCAACTCCAAAGCCAAACCCCAGTCTACGGTCCAGTCCGCAACTCCGTTGCAAGCAAAGCCAAGACCCGCTATGAATCAATGTCATCGTCGACGAAGAAGCCCCAGAACGTTACCTCCTCGTTTTCTCGCCCTCGCAGACGGCCCCCGTATACGCTGTCGCACATCTCGATGGGTACCTCGAGCTTCAAGCAGCCGTTGCCGAGGAATGTGAAGAGTAGCCACGAGTCGAAGTCGGGGAAGGCACCGCCATCATCAGGATTTCGACTTCGGAGTCCTCTGTTCTGTAATGATGGTGCAGTGGGCATGCGGAAGGTGTGGTAAGGCAGTGTTTCCTCAGAGTCGGCGGTGAAGAAGGAGCTATTCAGGGCGAGCTCGACGGTGACGCCGTTGGACTGGGGATCATCGTGGACGGGTGCTGTGTCGTGTTTATGGAAGCGCAGAGTGCCGAAGCGCAGATCGGTGGGCTGGCCGAGCAGGTCGAAGAGCTCGGTCGAGTACAGGCGGAAGTAGCCGTTGTGTATGCTGAGCTCGTCGTCGGCGTCGGGGCCAGCAGTTAGGGTGAGGTTGTGCAGCTGCTCCTCGGCGCGTTTGCCTTCAGACTCGGCGGCATTGAGGGAACGACGGATGTGCTTGCGGGTGTACTTGTCGCTGAGGTCGGAGACAGCCATGCGGCAGGCCTCGCGCCGGATGTCGTCGCTGCACCAGCCCCTCATGCCGTGTTGCGCAGTGGTGTTGGGACCCGAGAGAGAGCGCTGCAGGCCACTCTCAAAGTCTAGCACGAGCTGCTCGAATTCGCGCATAACGCGAGCCAGGGGGGAAGCGTCGTCGTCGCGCGGTTTCGCGTCGCGGGCAACGGTGTCTCGCTTCAGCAAGGCCATGGGGGGTTGCTGTTGGCCAGGTGCAAGCACGGTGAGAGTGAGTACGGCCTGCGAGGGCACTCAAAGCGAGGGACAACAGTGCAGGACGAGGCTGGCGATCGCTGCGCGAGAGGAACGTTCAGGGTGCAGCTCGGCGTGTGGAGCTCTCCGGGCAGTGGTGCTCTTCTGGCGGAACCGGAAGGACAAGGGGTGCAGAGGGGAGCGGTCGTGAGAAATCGTGCAGTAAACAAACCGCCGCCGTTAGTCGTAACGTTCAGAGTTCACACACAGTCCGCGCAAGGCTGGCATTGAAACGAAATGGACAAAGAGACAAGAAACATGGCTCTCCTTGAGCGACTGACCGAGATTTTGCTGTCCAGCGCGGCGGGATCAAATGCGCGCCAAGATAGAATGGTCGTGCTTCCATCCCAGCAGCGGTATGCAGCTAACACTCCCCCGACCTATCACACGTACAGACGAAAGCCTGCCATTCACCAAGTCTCTTGCGACAGCCCTCGACGCCAGCAGCAGAGCGGTTGGACGTGAGTCCGGCTCTTCAGGTGATGGGCGACACGCTGTGGTTGCCCGCAAGCGCTGGGTTTTGTTGCAGTCGGTTGCAGAATGGGCGAACTGTTCAAGTGCCGGGCTCCTCACACGCGCCGGCGCCTGCTCGATTCGACATCTGCTCGACGCTTCGCGGCTGGAGAGTTGGCTGTGAACGTGATGATCAGTGACCACAGCACACCTCAAGACTGCCCCCGGAACCACTACAGACGTGTCAATAAAGGCTACATCGTCGCCGGTGGCACAGCATGATGCATCGCCTCGTCGCCGCCTATGCCGGTGCTCCTTTTGTGCTCTTTTCGAGGGAGGGGCGACCTGATGGCTGGGTCGAAATTCGCTCGCTCAAGTGCTGTTCTCCGACCTGCACTCTTCTGACGACCCGACAGTGTGGTAAAGGCCCACCACCTGTACTCCCATTTGTCCACTGCTGGACTAGTCGACACTAAACCGGGCCGTATGAGAGCTCGGTCCGATGGGCGAGATGGTTCGAACTGGTGCTTGTCGTGCTTCTCTCAGCTTTTGAAAGATGCACAGAGGACTCCATCAACACGGATCGGGGTGTGTGTAACAGCCCATTGTATGCGTGCCACCGACCATTACTCCATATCAACACTGTCACCGCTACTTTTCCACCGAGTGTGTGTGCTGCACAGCTTGCACTCGGCACCGGCATTGAGCCACCCGGCACCGATGACACGGTACCTGCACACCAAACGGACAACAAGCAGCCAAGGCCTCAGGAGACAATGATATCGAAATAGATGATGAACTCAGCTGCCACGTCGACGTTGTAGATTCGATTCGAAGGCCTGGGCATAAACAGGTGGACGTGCAGGACATCTGCAGCTGCCATCCACGAACTGCCAGCAGCGTGTGCAGCGCCTCCTGCCTGGTTCGAGCTTGAACGTACTGCATCGTTCGCGGGGGATAATGAACGGTTGTTGTTCGCTCTTGCCTGGATTCGGTGCCCGCCTGCCAACTGAGTACTGCAGATCTCACCTGGGCAGTTGTACACTTTGCACATCCCACTTATCAGCCTCCTCTCTTGTTGTCGTGCTTGTCGATCAACATTCTTCTCTTCGGCTTTCCCTTCTTCCTTCCACATATGTTGTTACCGTCGTAAATGCTCGGTCCAGCCTTGTGTAGGATACATGCGACGTTTACGAATCGAGGATCAGGTGGTGAGGTGCGAAGGAGGTGATGGCCGAGGTGTGATGGTGAAGAGCGACGCTGTGAGCTGGGCCAGCTGCATCCAGGAAGTGTGTAGGTCGCAGCTGGCAGGCGGTCGAAGTGAAGGACAAGGCACCTGCTGCGAATGTCAATCTTGCAAAGATTTAGTCGTGGTCAGGCCAAATGCGAGACGGAGAGCGAGGCGAGGATACAAAGTGCAGAGGTGTGAGTAGCTAGAACAGCGAGACTGAGACAATTGTCACGGTCGAGTGTGCTGGCTACGCGATAAAACTTGGTAAGGCAAAGAATTTGGTGAGGTCTGGAGGCCGGTGCGAGGGTTTGTTTACATCTGACCTCACTCTCACAACGGTGCCACCCCGCCACAGCACACAGTAATGTATAGTTCACTGATGACCGCACAGTGGATACCACAAGCGTGGTATGAACCTACATGACATAACATTGACACTCATTCCAGCATGGGCAAACACCCGTCAAACCTGAGAGATAGCTACAGGAGCAGAAGTTAGGTTAGGGCACAGCAAGCGCAAACGGCTCAACGGAGACAAGAGCTGCTACACTGGCTCGAACAGCAGTCAACACCTTTGACAGGCAGCCACGCAATGTCTTGGACATCGTTTTGGAACAGCACCTGCAGTGATCGAGCGCTGTTGATTCGGTCACGAACACACATAGCCGCAGGGCAACATTCGTCATATCAATTATTCACAGATCGTACAGACATTCTGTTTACCTTCAACTATATCGCAGCGCCAGTCACATCCGTCACAGACGTCGCTCCTCCTAAAACGCGTTCGTCCACTACGACGCCTACTAGAGAGGCAACCGCAGACAGTAACGCACGCTCGTTACCTACGTCCTAGCAGCCCATAGAAAATGGTCAGATCCCCGGTCGCTCCAGCTTCACAAAGCCAACATGCTGCTAGATCTTCAGGCCAAGACATTTGAAGGTTTAGAAGAGATCGCCACACTGCTGAGCTTTGTACCTCTTGCATCACTCGCTGTTGACGATGTGGCGACACTCTGGTCGACCCTCGCAAAGACACTCGAGGCTCGCCAGAAGTCGCTGGCGGTGGCTCACACAACAGAAGTCAATCTACATTCGACAATATTGGACAAGGTCTCTCAAGAAACACGTTCTGAGGCAGACATACAGACCTACTACGAGCGGGCTGAGGCGAAGATGTCGCGGGCATTCGAGAGCGATGGCGAGCAGAAGAATAAGTTACTACGAGATGTCATCGAGCTTTTTAATGAAGCGAGAGAGGCACCAGTAAAGAGCGGAGGGTGCCGTCAACAAATTGAGTCTGGTCGCGCTGCGTTAGACAATAGCAGTGACAAGCAAGTGGCTGCAGCAGATGCCTTTGCTGTTTCGGTGTGTCAGGCGGTGAAGGAGGCGCTGGATGAGTTGCCATACCTCTTCATCTACACTGGCTGACCTAAACACAGGCTCCCTGCCAACTTTGACGCAGCAGTTAGTGCAAGCAGTCAACATCATATACCTCCCACCATGGACACCGCCAACGTCGATGCCAACGCAGCCGGTCAATGGTCACAGTAGGAAGAGCCAGCCCTCGTGACTGGATCTCAAAATTCTCACAGAACAAGAGAAGGGACATAGCGGATCTCGAATATTGCGCAGGGCTCGGCCGCTAATGAGCAAGGTGCGAGAGATACCCTCTCTGCCCATGTACGAGGCTCTTCAAGGCTTACCTACTCTATCCTCTCCGAATGCCTGCGGCGTGGATTTTGTACAGGAGTGACTGCAAATAGCTGTCTAGAATACGGGTACTCCAAGGGCCCTCCAAGCGCAAGCAACAAACACAACCTCGGTGACTTTTCAAACCATCGTCAGGAAGACAACAGAAGTACTGTCGCTGCAGAACTTCCAATCTCGAGTGACGGATCGTATCCGGACCACACCCCGAACGCATCCGATCAGGATGGTAATACCTCATACTTGAGAGGTCATACACACCCTTTCAAGGTGACCAAGGGGGATAATGGAATGGAAGATGTCGTTATCGAACGACCCACTTTGCCGAGCGCAGGACTGCGACTCCAGTGAACGGTCAGAACAGACTTCAGCAGTCAACGGTCAGAACAGACTTCAGCAGTCAACGGTCAGAACAGACTTCAGCAGTCAACAGCAGAGAGGAAAGCACAAAGCCAGGTCACGCACACTAGTAGATACTTAGGGGCAGAATTTGGCGAAGGACAGATTCCAAAATGATTCTAGCGGCTCGATGCCTAAAGATGGTTGTTGTGTGACTAAACTCGGTGTTGTATATATAGTCTCGTGGCGTCAAAAGAGTAACAGAATACTGCTAGTTCATTGGGTCAAGACTTGCTACTCCCTATTAACCTCCCTCTCCTTTATCGTCAAACGTATCATGTTCTCACCACGTCTACTCCCGATACCGATTCACACCTAGCCAATTCTTTCCATACGCCCACTCATCCTCGATATCCTTGCCTGCCTTGCAGAACTTGCACACCTCCAGACTCCTTGGTGCTCGGCGCATCTGAGACCATATGAACTTCCGTGGCTCTCCTGGGTTGGCGAGACACATCTGTAGTAGATAGGCGTATTCGTCGCAGGACTCGAGAGGGAGCGTGTGGCCGCAGGCGTGGGTTTGGTGCCAGTTTGTGCGGCCGCACATGGTGTTTGTGATGGTACTGGGTGGTAATTACCGCACTGATAGGCCGTGGAGGGTGATGGGAAGGCCTTGGGCGGGTTATAGTATGAGAGTTTGTGGTTGTTGTTTGCTGTTTGGAGCGCAGGGCAGAAGTGGTCACGGTGGGGTTGAGTACTGGTGGTTGCCTTAGCTGTTGATCATTATTGTTCAATTACTAAAGATGAAGTGGAGTTCAGGTGGTTGACTGAATGTGTGCAAACAAGGCGTGCTGGCGGTACAAGGCGCCGTCTCATTGCTCGTTGAGGTATTGAAAAATAGCATTCTGAGTTCAGCAGGAAGCTCGTTGACTCATCGAACTGCATGCAGAATTCTTGTAGCGTGGAGCAGACTTGGCTGCAGCCACTCCAGAGATTGACAGGCCTGCTTGATACTATAGCATGATGTCTCTGTCAGGTAAAGACAATGTTAGCAGCTTCTGGGTCATTTTTGTGTCACCGTTTCCGCGCATGCAGCGGCATAAGAACGACTTGTGAGACACTATCGTCAGGTTCAGATTTGCGTGGCTTTCTACGCTCCGACATCTTGTCTACTTCAGTACTCTAGAGAACGTACTCGAAGTCCGGCACCTTATCACCCAGCTCATGGATCTCATCCCGGCTCTTGCCTTCAGTCCACTGGTTACGAAGGCCAATCCTCCGCTTCTTGTTTTCCCTGGCAAGCAGGACCCTCGTGATGATACTGCCGCCAAACAGAAACAGGGTTAGGTACGCTAGAACCACACCGTGACCCAGGAAGTAGCGCGGCTTGTCCTTTTCGTGGTAGATGTTCGAGCTAACCACGCCGTTCAAGTTACCCCAGCCAATGACGAAACCGATAGTGACACCACGTTTGTAAACGCCCTCGACGTTGTTTGATGTCCAGGATACAGTGTTCGGAATGCAAGGGTAGATACCGAGCGCTCCAAGGAATACACCCGCGTACTGAACGTGGGGATTGCCACTACCCAAAAGCATAGCAAAGCCCACAATGCCGAGGAGCGACATGCCAATATTGCACAGTCCACGCTGCTGTGTCCGATCCGCAAGCCATCCAATGAAGATGGTTGCAGCAGCAGCAACCGCATACGGAGGCACCGACAGAAGATTAGCAGTGGTGGCCGAGTACTGTGGGTTCAATCCCTTGATGATAGTTGGCAGGAAGAGGGCGAAAGCGTAGAGAGAACCGTCAGCGCCCATGTAGATGATAGCGTACATGGTAGTTTTCCAGTCCTTGACGGATTGCCAAAAGTACTTCCACTTGAAGGTCTCGACTTTGGCGGAGGACTGCTTGTCGGAAGCAAGACGGCGCAAAACGCGTGCTCGGTCGTCGGGCGAGAGAAAAGTTGCTTCGGCGGGGAAATCGTGGACCATCCAGTAGCTGATGATGCCGACTACCACTGTGGCGAGACCTTCGAGGATGCTGCGAAAGGTCAGTACAGATGAAGATTTCACACTTGTTAAGAAGATCGGGCATACAAGATCCAGGCCCAACCAGGTTTGCCTCCAACACCCTTCATCTGAGCGATACCAGCTGCCAGAAGACCACCAAAGGAGCCAGCTAGGGCCGCCGCAGAGAAGAAGATAGCAGCTCGGATACCAAATTCGGATCGTTTGTACCAGCAGGAAAGGTAGTAATTGACGCCGGGGAACAGGCCTGCCTCGGCGAGGCCGAGGAAGAATCGGCAAGCCATCAATCCGGAGTAGTTGTGCACCAAGCCCATGCAGCACATAACAATGCCCCAGGCGATCTAGAAAGTCAGATTATGAACTTGATTAGACGCGGTATGACTTACCATGATCATGGGAAGGAAGATGCTAGGGCGCATCTTCTTGAGCAGCACGTTCGTGAGAGGCTCGAAGACGGAGTAGCTGACGAAGAAGATTGTGAGAGTGGTATTGTACTGGCCATTGGTCATGTGTAGATCTTGTTGTAGGCCGTCAACTTTGGCATTGCCGATGTTGGTTCTGTCAAGGAAGGCTAGTGACGGCGGTCAGTGAGGTGCTTGAGTGTATCATGGCAGGGTCAGGGCCTACATATCAGGTACAGGAAGGACAGCCATGGAATGAGCTTAAAGTCGAGCTTGCGAAGGAGCTTCTTGTCCTGAAAAATTGTTAGTGGTGCCGTGTTGCGTAGTAGAGTTGCGTGTCGAGACATACCGCAGCTGCTCGCTCCTCATCGCTGAGTCCAGCGTCGGGGTCTGCAAGGTCGGTGAGGGGATTCACAACTTCCTGATGCTGGTGAGCAATCTTCCCCTCGAGGCTTGCACTGTCGCGGCCATGTTTTTCGTTTTCGACTGCTGAAGCCATCTTATTTATGAGACAAGCAGTAGCGGGGACTCTATGTCGGAAAAGGCGGCGGGTGAGTGAGGTGTAGTTATCTCGCCAGTTTGCGAGCTTGAAGATGTAAACGCGAACCGTGGAAATGGGTTGAGAGCCGCAAGTCAGCGATCAGTGAGACCGTCGCATGATATATATCACCTTCACCCTCTGACGTGTTTAGTATTTCGCACATATGGGCCTGGGGAACTCGTTCCGAGGCTAAGAGATCGCCTATCATCACTCGCGGTCCCGTATTCCTATTGACCAGTTTCCCCTTACAACTCCGTCCCCCACCTCCATCTTTTAGCGTATGTTGATCGTCTGGACACTGGAGATGGGCGGATTTGTCATTGTCGCTGCATGCTTTGATGAGATACAAACTCGAGATGCTGTACTGTTTCCTGTAGACCGATACTTTCTGCGCCTTCAATATTGACTTGTTTTCTAGACATGCGAATGCAACGTTGTCAGAAGCATTTCATCGGTTGAGGGTTGGCGTGCGGAGAACCCAATGGGGTGTGTCGAAGCGGGGCTAAGCATTGAACAAGTGCCGGCTTGTGACGTTTCTTTTCTTTTCTTCTCTTGACCGTTGCGGCTGCTTGTGTGTAGCTGCATGTAGCGCCGGGAATACTTCTTTTGTGCATCCCGTGTACGTGGGTTGCGATAAGGCCGAACACCTGCCTGATTGAATGCTCTGTGTCCAGGGAGGTTGCACATACGGATGACGCACTTTTGAAATCAGTAAGCTGTTGCATCTTGAACCTACCAAATGAAGTCGCGGAGTCTAATGGAGGCTGCAGACTAGACACTTAGACACGGCTACTAATACAGCCTCGAGGTTCGGGGCATGTTCGGTTTTGCATAGTAATGGCGGACGAAGTACACAATAGCGTATTTGCTTTGTCCTCAAGCCACACTCAATAACATTAGTCGACTCTTGTGTTGTGTAGTCTCAGTAGCCGAAGATTCGATTGCTGGTCAGTGTCCAAATGCAAGACGCCATGGACATCACTTGTAATTCATGCAGCAGTTTACTCGGAGGAGTAGTCGTATGTGCTTCTGTTCAACAACCTAGATTATTCTGGGCCGCAAATGCTTCAACGACATCGTTCGAGCTCCTGCCGGTCCTCTCCATGGGCCTTAAAAGTCTAGCGGAAATACAGCAGTCCACTTCCCCGACCTCGAACGTACATGCAGCCTTGCTTTTAGACCTCATACGCCTGTGAAGTCGGATATATCCCCAGTTGATAACGCCGCCCAATGCATAACATGACGAAGGTTGCTCATCTCTTGCCCTCAAGCTTGACTGCCCCCAATTCAAACACCAGGCTTTCGAGACTTTGCCTCGTTTGCGCGCTGCTTCCTCTCGTTTCTCCTGGTCCTCTCCTTGCGCTCGTGCCTGCTCTCAGCCCGCGCATCGTGTGCCTCTCCAGTCTTGGCCTCCTTCTTCTCGTCGACTTCAACAAGCCAGGAGCTCTCGGCCTCCTTGTTCTTGCCCTTGTATCCCCACTTGGGTACCCAGTCGCCGGTCGCCTCGTCGTAAACCTTGTTGCCGTCGCGCTTCTTGTCCTTGATACCCTTCTTGGCGGCAAAGCGCTCCCACTTAGTCTGTTCCTTGGCCTTGGGGATGGGCTTTTCGCGGGGTAAGGCCATTTGTGGCGCGGGGAGGACGAGGTGCACGCCTTCCGAAGTAGACTTGATTTCGCAGGTGGAGAGTAGCTGGTTGATGAGAGCTTGTGCGGCATCGCGAGCGGTGGCGGCCAGAGCCTCTTCATCTGCCTCGGCGGGAATAGGATTCGGGTCGTGAGCGAGCAGGTTGCCCAGGTCGAAGGTGAATGGTGTGGGCTTGTTGACGGCGACAGGACTATGTGAGTGTAAGTGAAGTTGCTGTGAGGGGTTGGGAAGAGGGGCTCTTTGAGACGCACAGTCGGCCTGTCGCAGTTGAGTCTGCTACTGAAAGAGCTGCATTGCTCGGCGCATCGACGTCCATGGCTCCTCCGTTGATTCTGTCGGCAAGGTGCGAGTGTGTGTCCAGTGCGACGCCGCCGTTCATTTCAATTTCGGAAGTATTTGGGAGCGAAAGTGTAGCAGTCGTGCTGTGCTGGTGCTGCGCTGAACCTCAAAAAAAGTAGGAACGACTTTGGCGCGCTAACCCGATCAGGAAACCTCCGGCCTTCAGTTTTGGCGTTGCAGACGTGCTCCAACGACGACGACATCAACTGCCAATTGCCGAGGCCGTGGGTCTCAGTCTCTCATCATGCCGTCCGCCAACTGTCTGCGGAACTTCTCGCAGCTGTCCCTCGATGCAACTGCGCACTCGACTGCCGCTTCGCGATTTCTGCAGCCGCGCGTGGCCTGCTTCTCCACGTCCGCCGCCCGCTATGCGAACCCCCAGATGAAGAAGAAGGGCATGACGGCGGCGCCAAAGAAGGGAGTGAAGACTTTGAACACCAAGAAGAGCAAGGGCGCATCAGGTGCCGATGCTGGCAAGCGGCCAGCGCAGGGGGAGCGAAAGGCACAGCGCAAGCGCATTGTGCTCAGCAACAACAACGCGTTGGAGGTTTCTTCTTTGAAAGATCTGACTAAGACGAACGTCCTGAGCGAGGCGAACGAGGGTCTAGTCATGGGTCTCCCGGAACCCGTTGTCGATGCGCTGCGAGATGTGGAAGCTTTCAAGACGACTCAGGGCTGGAGCTTCTTCCGGAGGCCGGCCGTGTTGGTGAGGAAGGAGGCCATTCAGCTTGCGAAGTTGTTCAAGGCGGCAGAGGAGGCAGCCCCTGGCAAAGACAAGAAGACTATCCGCCGGATACTCACTGGCAACAGGATGAGCGGAAAGAGCACACTGTTGCTTCAGGGCTTGAGCATGGCTTTCTTGAGGCAGTGGTTCGTTATTAGTCTTCCAGAGTGTGCGTGGTCCCGTGTTCGAAGAAAGTGCAATACTGACACGTGCTAGGCCAGGACATTGTCAACGCCCACACCGATTACGCACCCCTGGAGGGCTCCGAGCCCACCCAGTACACACAGGATACCTATACTGCAGCTCTCCTGTCACAGACCCTCAAGGCGAACAAGGCTTACTTTGAGAATGCAAAGATCACCCAGAAGCACGACCTTGCTGTACCACTTCCTGCGAAGGCCAAGCTCAGTGACCTGGTCGCAATTGGCGTCGCCAATCCGGAAGCCTCCTGGTCCGTGTTCAAGGCTCTCTGGACTGAGCTATCGCAGCCTGGTCAGCCACAGATCCTTCTTGCTGCCGAGGGACTTTCGCATATTATGCAAAACTCTGAGTACATGAACGCCGACGTAAAGCCCATCCACGCCCACGACCTGACCATCGTCCGTCACTTTGTCGATCACCTGTCTGGTGTCAAGCAGCTGCCCAACGGCGGTGTCGTGCTCGCCGCAACCTCGAAGTCCAACGCACCCGCCTCGCCAGCCATGGACTTCCGCATCAAGTCAGCAGAAGCTCTCAAGATCCAGACCAGCATTCCGCAATGGAACCCTTACACAAACGGCGATGCACGCACCATGGAGGCTCTCAAGGACCTCGAAAACCCCAAGGCTGATCTGGATATCCTTGAAGTTGGTGGTTTGAGCAAAGAAGAGGCCAGGAGCATCATGGAGTACTATGCAGAGAGTGGCATGCTGAGGCATCAAGTCAACGATGGCCTCGTTACCGAGAAGTGGAGCTTAGCGGGCATGGGCAACATCGGTGAACTGGAGAGAGCGAGTGTAAGAGCCAGAATATGAGAATGGGAGAGTGGGTTGGAAATAGCGTTGTACCATATGTTGGCATGTAGCACTTGTAGTATATGTACAGCAATCGCATGCATCGCCTTGCAAGGCGGTGCGTTCAGTCATGCCTCTGGCTTGAGTCGACTAGACTCAAAGGCACATGCAGCCCTACGCAATTCCCCAGCGCCCCCATCCACAATAGCAGGTAGTCGTACGCGGCGATGTCTCGTTCACTAACACTAGCTTCCATGACGTTGGCTGTGCGGCAGGGATGAATGAAGAACACTGACATGTTCGAGGCTGGATGGTCCTTTTTTTCCCGTCAGCTTGGGTTTGTCTCTCGTTCTCCGAGGAGACGAACGGTCACAGTAATACCACCAATCACGCCCACATGCTCAGCTTGTGGCCTGAACGCCAACGGTATCACATAAGAGTACAGCGTCTCCATGGTAGGTGGATATCGGTGCTGGGTGTCTGATATCGTGCAGTACATAACGGGAACTCGATACGATGGAGAGAGCACCACATCGTAGTGAACGACAGCTCGGGGTGAGGTTGAACTTTCAACGACCTCGTCATCTTCCTCTCTGAGCTCGACTTCTTCGATCTCACTGCTAATTTCTGGTACTTCTGGGTGCAGAGCCAGTGGTTTGGTAATCCTCAAGAACGTGGTTTCATTCTGAGATACACTTTCCACTGCAGTCCACTCATTCTGGCGATGAGCATGCAGCTCGAACCTCTTTAGCAATGCGCTGCATGCTTCATCAAACTCTGAATCAGATAGATGCGGGAACGAGGCCAGCGTGCTGCGAGACTGGATGTGTTCAGTGGGATCCGTCAGTCCTGCAGGAAACAGCTGAGGTGCCATGGTTCGAGTCGGCACGGGCAGGTTCAGGAATGCATCAGGGTCGAGAATCAGTGCTATTGCCAATGCGTCGTCCACTGCAGGACGCAACAGTGGCTAAGAAAACGTCGCAATCAGATGCTGGTGCACATGGAGCCTGCGCGCTCTCGGTCGTGGGTGTTTTTCCGGAGCAGCTGGAGATGGTCGTTCACAGAGGCTCCACAGACGAGGGGCGCGGCGATCGCGGCGCGGAGCTGGAGTGATCCCCGGCCTTACTTATTCTTGGCTTTCCATCTGCCTGGAGCGTCTCGAGGCATCCGCGCCGTAGAGGTCTAGCGGCAGCCCTACCTATCCCTAAGCATCTTTATTCAGATCCATCATGACTTCCACAATAATCACGGCTACCTGAACGCGCCAGCACTGATCCCCCGCCGCCTCGACCGCACTTCACACATCTCCACACGCTCGCCGCTGCGATGCCTGCGCAGACAGAAAAGAGCCAACTCAAGCGAGGCCGCGTATGTTCTACATATATTGTCTGGACCAGAGCAGGACATGCTTGCTGACAAGCCAATCGATGTAGCCATCCCAGGGCGAGCAAGTTGAGCCAAAGAGAGTCCGGGGCCAGCGTCAGCTCTCGCCTGGAGATCCGCACCGTCATATTAAGCAAGGGCAGCTGCCTTCGCCCATCACCCACAAGGAATCCACCGGAACCACAGAGGACGAGCACAAGGAAAGTACCGTTACACCGCCCCCACAGAGCCAGGCCAAGTTCTCTCAAGCGCGAAACGGCTTGTCCTCGCCTCCATCAGACAAGCAGTCAGACACACAAGCATTCACGCAGTCACAGTTCGTCTACTCGCCGCAAGCACGATCGTATGCAGTCGAAGACGAGGAGGGCGAGCAAGTATGGGGCTATCTTGTGCCTCTCGATGACCAATCTGGCGACGTCATGGTACTGAGGCGGCGAGAGGCCTGTCCAGTGCCAGAAAACATGATTGGGCCGAAGACGGGCACTGAGAAGGTTTCAAAGCACGAGTATGAGAAGCAGGAAGAGAACTACGAAGAAGAGAAAGCGGAGAAGGGCGTTGCTGCCGGCGGCTATCTGATTGGACGACATCGCGAGTGTGGTGAGTTCCTATTGCATCCTTCACAGTTTGATCAGGGCTGATTCATTACAGATCGTCAATTGAAGTCGAACACCGTCTCCAACCGACATTGTCTTATCTTCACCGAGAAGAAGGGCGGCGATCTAGTTGCTGTAGTCGAAGACCTGTCTGGCAACGGCACATTTGTCAACGACTCGCTAGTTGGTCGAAACAAGCGCCGCGAACTGAAGGAAGGCGACGAGCTCGCGATCCTGGAAGAGGCCCGATTTGTCTTCAGATACCCGCTCAAGCGCACCACACATCGATTTCACCAGCAGTACCAGCTTCAAGAGCAACTTGGCAAGGGTCACTTCGCGTCCGTATACCTATGTGTCGAGAAATGCACTGGCATGCGACATGCAGTCAAGAAGTTCGAAAAGCGTACTGGCCCGGGCGAAAAGTCAAAGGTCGAGGGGCTCCAGCAAGAGATTGCTGTGCTCATGGGTATCAGCCACCCTTCTCTCTTATGTCTCAAGGATACATTCGATGAGGATGATGGCGTCTACCTAGTACTCGAGCTCGCGACTGAGGGGGAACTTTTCAACTGGATCGTCATGAAGCAGAAGTTGACGGAAGCGGAGTCGCGCAAGGTCTTCATCCAGCTGTTCCAGGCTGTCAAGTATCTGGTAAGTCAGCCAATGAGTTTTTTTTTGATGACACCTGCTTACGTATTGCTAGCATGAGCGTAACATTGTGCATCGAGACATCAAGCCGGAGAATATTCTCCTCACCGACAAGGAGCTACATGTCAAGCTTGCTGACTTTGGTCTCGCCAAGATTATCGGCGAGGAATCATTCACAACTACTCTGTGCGGTACACCATCATGTGAGTTGCAGCTTCCTGTTTCCTCCGAATTTCAGCTCATTCTCAACAGACGTGGCACCCGAGATCTTAGAAAACTCCAACCACCGTCGATACACACGCGCCGTCGACGTTTGGTCTCTGGGTGTTGTTCTTTACATATGCCTGTGTGGCTTCCCGCCATTCTCAGATGAGCTATACAGCTCAGAAAACCCCTACACGTTATCCCAGCAAATCAAGCTAGGCCGCTTCGATTACCCTTCGCCATATTGGGACCCAGTCGGCGATTCCGCACTGGATCTCATCGACCGTATGCTCACAGTCGATGTTGAATCGCGAATCACAATTGACGAATGTCTCGAGCACCCGTGGACCACACAGGGCGGCAACATCAACCCGAATGATAGTACAGACGGGTTGACAGGAGCCATTGCCAACCTCGATTTCTCGAAGAGAAAGATCAAGCGTGAGCGAACCCTGCTCAGCAGCATCAACGAGATCAGGGTCGCACGCGTGATCCCAACAGGAGAGGGACAAGAGCCATTGAAGGTGTACGAGAAGAATGGCACGCAAAAAGGCGGCACGAAGCTGCTGAAGGACAAGGATATCATCGAGCCACGACCTGCTGAAAAGCGAGACCCTCGAGAGTTCGTTGAGATGGGAGGCAAAGGCGATCAGGTACTATTCGACGATGTATGAGAGAGTTTAGGTACACGATATGAGTGAACGCAGCATTGGTCAGCGGAGGTGGCACAGCAAACGTGGACCGCAGGAGCAGTGGTGTACGTTCTCGAGGGCTGTGTTTTCACGTACTCTGAGCGTTCTGGTTGGCTGGCGTTACTAAAGGATGTAAAACTATGGGTCCGGCTGAGCGGTCAAGACGGTTTACAGCCGCATCACATGAGCCTAGCGGAGTAGTGAAATAAGCTTTCGCTCAAGGTATAGCGAACACTTTGAGATGCTCTTTGTAGACAGTATGGTCCGCCAATGACGTGACACTGTTTACGACGGGCGGTGGCGTGTGAGCGCGTGTCGTCAGTTTGTGGCCCGATCTTCTCCTTGACGGGCGAGCACAGATCCGCGGCCAGTCCCTGCCAAGCAAGCGCACCCCAGTTGCGGCAGGCGCGATCGTTGATTGGCAAGAGCGGGCCTCAACTTCTGGGAAATTTATGTAGAGCCGCGCCCCCTACGACAACAACGCTCTCTTACGTCTCTTACGTCTCTTACGTTTCTTACGTCTCTGCAGTTTTTTGTTGCGCAGTATGGGTGTGCTTGCTGATATCTCTGGGCCGATTGGCAACTTCACTGCCAACTCCTCCACCCCTGTCACTATCGCCGCCGGTTTCGCATCCTTCCTCGTTCTTGCGGTTGTCCTCAACGTTCTGCAGCAGTTGTTGCTCAAGAACCCCAATGAGCCGCCTCTCGTCTTTCACTGGTTCCCGGTGATTGGTAGCACAATCACGTACGGTATCGACCCGTATAAGTTCTTCTTCACCCAGCAGAAGAAGGTATGTCGCGTGCCTCGTAGCGATGGGAACAATGCGCTGACTGGCAGTAGTACGGCAATGTCTTCACCTTCGTTCTCCTCGGTCGCAAGATGACTGTCTGCCTCGACACTAAGGGCAACAACTTCATCCTCAACGGAAAGCTCAAGGACGTCAACGCCGAGGAGATCTACAGTCCGCTCACCACTCCTGTGTTCGGCAAGGATGTCGTCTACGACTGCCCCAATGCCAAGTTGATGGAGCAGAAGAAGGTGCGCATGCATTCGCTCTTCCGCCGGATTAATGCTAATGCAACACTTAGTTCGTCAAGTTCGGTCTCACCCAAGACGCCCTCCGCTCCTACGTCACCGTTATCACCGAAGAAGTCGAGAACTTCGTCAAGCGCCACAAGGTCTTCCAGGGCAAGAAGGGCACCTTTGATGTGACCAAGGTCATGGCCGAGCTCACCATCTACACTGCCTCCCGCTCCCTTCAAGGCCAGGAGATCCGCGACTCCTTCGATTCTAGGTTCGCCGAGCTGTACCACGATCTCGACATGGGTTTCTCGCCTATCAACTTCATGCTTTCCTGGGCTCCTCTTCCCCACAACCGTGCGCGTGACAACGCACGTGAGACCATGATCAAGCTCTACTCGGACATTGTTCGCAGGCGCAGGAGCGGCGAGGCTGAGAGGAAGGAGGGTGAGCACGACATGATCTGGCATTTGTTGGAGTGCAAGTACAAGGACGGCACACAAATTCCTGAGCACGAGATCGCTGGTATCATGATTGCGCTCCTTATGGCTGGTCAGCACTCTTCGTCTTCCACTATCGCCTGGATTCTTCTCCGTCTGGCCCAAAATCCCGGCCTTATTGAAGAGCTTCTAGAGGAGCAGAAGTCTGCTCTTGGACAGGATCTCCCGCCTCTCACCTACGAGGACCTTCCGAAGTTGTCTCTACACGCCCAAGTCGTCAAGGAAACCCTCCGTCTTCACGCTCCCATCCACTCCATCATGCGCAAGGTCAAGCAGCCTCTTGTCGCAGATGGCACCAACTACGTTATTCCTACCTCGCACACACTCATGTCTTCGCCTGGGTTCTCCGCGCAGCTCGACTCTCACTTCGTCAACGCCGAGGTCTGGGACCCCCACCGTTGGGACGCTGACCAGCACAACTATGATGAGCCGGAGGCAGTCGCGGGTGGCGAGGACACCATCGATTACGGTTGGGGTGTCATCTCCAAGGGAACCAACTCGCCATACCTTCCCTTCGGCGCGGGACGTCATAGGTGTATCGGTGAGCAGTTCGCGTACTTGCAGCTGCAGACCATCCTTGTGGCTTTCGTAAGAGAGTTCAAGCTCAGGAACGTGGGTGGCAGCAAGGACATTGTCGGCACAGATTACTCAAGTCTATTCTCCAGGCCGCTGGCGCCTGGTACTGTTGAGTGGGAGAGGAGGAACTAGGCATCGCGAGTTGTAGACGGGTGTGATGGGATGAGCAACTGCTTAATGAGCGTTTATGAAGTTGATAGCGGATTCGCTTCAATGCACACGAGCAGGCGCGTTACCTGGTGTGTTAGACTTTGGATATAGTAGATGTTAATAATATGCATGCGGATTACGACTTACAAATAATTATCTTAAAGAGCTGCATGTTGCGTTCGTAGACGTTTGCTGAAGAGTACTTGGGCGTCCGATGGTACACGGTCTGGCCGGACGTTTGCCGAGGTGATGTTGAACATCGATGACGGAAGCGGACCGACGGATATACAACCTCACTACAGTCAATTTGGAACTCGAAAAGCAACGCATCAACATACACATATCCAATTCATACAGAAAGATCCAATTCTTTGGATTCCGAGACAATACACTGATAGTCTGGGAAACAGAGTAGACCGGACCATAGGCGGAAACAATAGATCTACTCAAGAAAAAGGAAGATGGACTCAATCCAAAGTCTCAAGAGCGATTACCCATGGATCGAAACCCCCCTTGTCGTAGGAGCGCCTATGCGACTCATCGCTCTGGCTGATCTGGCTGTAGCCATCTCGAAAGCTGGTACGCACCACTCCTTCCAATCTCATCTGGCCAGATACACCACTCCTTTCCGTCTTCATTTACATGAACTGACATCAAACAGGGGGCATCGGCTTCATCGGCGCCGGCACAGATGTATCAGACTTGGAGTCGTACTTGCAGGATGCTACTAGATTGATCAAGGACACCAATCTCAAAACCACAAACGGTACACTTCCAGTCGGCGTAGGCTTCATCAACTGGGGCGCCGACCTCTCTGCCGCACTGCCTCTCATCAAAAAGTTCAAGCCTGCTGCTGTGTGGTTTTTCGCGCCTTCATCCATCGCCGCGCTGGCTGAATGGACAAGCAAGTACAGAGAAGCGAGTCCGCAAACCAAGGTCTGGGTGCAGATAGGCAGTGTACGAGAAGCGCTCGATGTTGTGAAGGAGGTAAAGCCGGATGTGCTGGTTGTCCAGGGTACAGATGCGGGTGGTCACGGGTTGGCGCAAGGCGCAGGGCTGATCTCGCTGCTGCCGGAAGTGCACGATACTGTTTCTACTCAAGTGCCGGATAAGAAGGGAAGACCAATTCTTGTAGCAGCGGGAGGTATTGCCGACGCACGCGGCTTATCCGCCACACTCATGCTAGGCGCAAGCGGCGTAGTAATGGGTACGCGTTTCCTCGTGTCCCACGAAGCCGTCATCGCGAAAGGCTACCAGGACGAAGTCCTACGCACTTCTGACGGCGGGCAAACGACTGTCCGGACTAAGGCCTGGGACAATGCACGCGGTACTACGGGCTGGGCGGAGACGTATAATGGCAGGGGTATCATTAATAAGACGTATACGGATGCCATGGAGGGTGTGGGGAATGAGGAAAATAAGATGCTGTATGAAAAGGACGTGGAGAAGGGGGATGAGGGGTGGGGTGTAAAGGCGAGGTTGTGTACGTATGCGGGAAGTGCGGTGGGGTTGGTGAAGGAGCTTAAGGGTGCGGGGGAGATTGTGAGGGAGGTGAGGGAGGGGGCGAGGGCTAGGTTGGGATGTTGTGTGAAAGGAAGCTGTGGCGTTCTTCTGTAGGTACAATGTGTTCATATATTTCTTCCTATATCCTCTTGAACACGGTGCTACTGTGGACCTATAAAGTCCTCGCACGAGCAAAGAGGTTCGGTCTAGCGCTTGTTGTCCGACACTGCTCGAACGGTTGCAGCCTTAGACATCGGTCGAATGGTAGACTCCAACTCTGTCGAAGTCATCCTGGACGAGATACTTATGACTGAGGACTGACTAGCAGAAGTGCCCAGTCGCTGCCGCTCATCAGCCGCGCTTGTCTCTTCTATCTCTTCGTCCTCATCGTCTGTTTCCTGGCTCATGCTGGCGGCTTCAGCTTCGAGTGCTGTCATGCGGTTGACGAAATCCTTCTGCAGCCCCTTCAGCCAAGCAGTAAGCACTTCACCTTCCAACACACCAGTCTGGACTTGCACAAGATGTTCCTTGAGGTTGAGAATGAGCTTTCGCCGCTTCTCTTTGAGCACAATCTCGGATGTCTTCTTCTTGCGGAGCATATGGCGCTCCAGCTTCTGGGCAACAGCTGCGGCGTGGTCGACCAGCCCTGCAGGAAGTGGTACGACTCGAGCGAGAGTCAGACCGTAGTGCGACTCTTTGACGGCACCCTGAGATATTTTGTACAACATCGTCATGCTCTGCTCATTCTCCATATCAACGGCCAGATGAAGGTTGAGCACGCCGGCGCGCTCGTGCATGATGGTGGCAAGATCCTTGAAGTGAGTTGCGAACCACACAAGAGCCTTGCTGGAAACGAGGGCTTCTGCGATGGCCAAGGCAATGGCCAGACCGTCCCTAGTACTTGTGCCACGACCGAGCTCGTCCACGATGGCCATGCTGCGTCGATCGATGTTGCGTAGGATAAACGCAATCTCTCTCATCTCGGCCGCGAATGTTGACACATTGGTCTCGATGCTGTCATCCATGCCCAGGCGGGCGAAGAGCTGGTGCAAGATCGGGAAGGAGGCATACAACGCAGGCACGCTGTACCTCATCAGTAAAGTTATACCGAGATGGAAATGCACAAGCAACGTACAAGCAGCCGATTTGAGCCATGATCGACATCAGAGCAATGGTCCGGATGTAAGTGCTCTTGCCACTCATATTACATCCCGTGATGATTTGGAAGCGCGTCTGCTGGGTAGCGTAGACATCATTCGGAACAAACTTATTCTGCATGATCTTCTCCTTGATAGGGTGTCTGCCGGATTTGATAGCAAGGGTATCGGTCAGTTGCGGTCGAGTGTAGTCGTTCACCGTCACGAGCTGTGAGAAGGCGCCGATCATGTCCAATAAACCGACAGCTTCGCAGATCTTGAACATGACCGACATGTGGCTACGGACTGCCTCGATCAGCGCGTCAATGGCTTGATCACCTGTCAGAACGTAAGCATAGTAGATAAGTGGGTCTGATCTGTGTACGCACTCATGAGAACAACTTCTTGGTGTGAGACGTTGATCTATAACACTCAGTCAGTCATGTCATAGCATCTAAACGCAACGACTACCTTTTGGTTGCGCTTCATTAGCTCCAAGGTCTGACATTCGATATGGTTCTTTCGGCGGATGACATTCGTGAAGACTGGTGGAAGCTCTCTTCCGTCAAGCTCGGTCGATGGTATCTTGATGTAGAATTGTCGGGCATTCTCGTACTTGAGATCAAGTTGAATGTCATACTCCTCTGCATACCGTCAATAAAGTAGACCAACAATTTCCACGGCAATGCTAACGGCCAAGCTCGGTGCAGTGCTGGTACGCATCCTCGGTGGCTTCTTTGTAGGTCGTACGCGCGACGTCAAGCAAGCCATTGACACCAGACTTCACGGCATATGTACGCTGGTTCCGGAGCTCGAGAGGTTGCTTCGCGTAGGTGGTGTCTTCGTTGATCACTTCGTCAATCAGATCCCGGATTGGCGAGATGTTTTTGGGGTCGCAAAGCTACACCAGTCAGTAGCGGAAAGGAGTAAGAGCTGCTGCACCATCACCTCGCGGATGTTGTTCAGCATGCTTGACCTTGCTCCGGTGAGAGCCTCGAAAACTGGGTTTACAGAAGAAACAAATTGCTTCAACATTATGACTTGGTTGATGGCTTGCTCAGTCGTCTGCAGAGTTGGCTTCACTGGTTTGACGATGAGCTGCAAGCGTTAGTCAAAGGTTAACTTCACTTGCTTGTTGCTTACAGCAGTTAAGATCCTGTCGGCGTCCAAGAAATTCTTCAGAGCTGTTGCAAGTCAGAAGCGTGCAAGGAGAGTTGCTGCAAACATCGAACCAGCTCGCGTAGCAAAGAACATCGCCTCCTTGGTAGTCAGCTCCTCTACTGCACGGTACCTGGTGTTGAGCACTTCAGGATCAGTGAGTGGCTGCAGGATGTTGTTTCTCAGAAGGCGCGCTCCCATGGCCGTTAGGGTCTCGTTGAGGAGTCCGAACAGACAGTCCTTCGACTTTGGGCTTTGGAGGTTCTGCACGAGCTCAAGCGAGTAGATGGTGGACACGTCTATCATCATGGATCCTTCCGAGGGCTCATACCGCATCCTGAGCGAATGGTACGAGAATTGGATTCCCAGACCCAGCTCGATATACTTCAGTGCCTGTAGATGTTTAGCTATCGATCATGTTGGTCGGCAAACCACTCACCGCTGCAATGCAGCAGATAGCATAGTAGTTGCCTTGAACTGAGATCTTGATAGCTTCGACGTCTTCCTTGAAAGCCAGGGTCTGAATGTACTCATAGCCTGTCGAGTCAGCCCAGTAGCGACGGTCAAGCAAGGTGATCTTGTTGCCCATGTCTTCGAGGTTCTCTTCGATGATGGAGAAGAGCTTTGACTTGGGACTGGAAGCTGTTGCGACGATGAGTATCTCTGAAGGACCATACACTTTCAGTTTGTGGATAGTTCGAACGTAGGTTTGGCTGTCATTAATTTGGCAAAGCACAGCTTCCCCTGTATCAAGATCGACAAAGGCTAGGCCAACTGTAGGTGAGATGCCGCGAGACTCGGCAACAGCGCAAACTACACGTTGAGACTCAACCCTAGCAATAGTCGAAGCACCAGTCCTCGGCCGAGCAGTGGAAGGTCTGCCGGTACCTGGCCGAGTCCTGGGTCGCGAGGTTGTTGTAGTATTGTAGTCACCGTAACCGTAGGAAGTGGAAGCTGTGGTGTAAGAGGTAGAAGGCCTCGAGGGGCGAACCATAATGGTTAGTGCTGTAAGGGCAGTGTGTGATGAAGTGCTGTGCTGCTCTCTTTGTCATTTGAAAATGCACTTTGCATGAGGTGTTTAGATGAGAGATGAAGGACGCGTTGATGGTTGCTGGTTGGGGAAAGAGCAAGCGCGTCACTAGCGCGATTCTAATCGATAAGCGTTTAAGAAAAAAGTGCAGTGGGGTTCTGCTGTCTCTACAGCAACTTTTGAAGGAGAGTAACATTTTCTGTTACTGAAGCCCGGATTGCACTACACGGCTTGATTTTGGTATGGCGACACAATACCCACCTCCTTCGAAACGGCAGAAGCGGGCGCAGGCCGAATTCACGCGCGAACAACAAAATGTCGACACAACGATCCCAGACGGCACCGTACGAGTACGCTTTGTAGACCAGGCCACAGGCGAAAGTGGCAGTCTGCCTGTCCTTACTGTACCGCTCTCGCAAGCGACCACCAAAAACCTTGAGATCCTCCTGAACGAGCTCAAAGACCAAGCCGAGGACCAAGTACCGTACCGATTCTTCCACGACGAGGCTACAGAAGCGCTTGGAGACAGGGAAGACTTGTACAATGCATTGGTGAAGTCAGGGAAGGCATCTGCAGAAACAGAGATAGTGCTGCAGTACGCGCCGCAAGCTGTGTTCAGAGTAAAGGCTGTGTCGAGATGCGCAGCAGCAGTCTCTGGGCATGGAGACAACATCTTAGCGGTGCAGTTTTCACCAAAGAGCTCAGGACGGATGGCTAGTGGAAGTGGAGATAAAACAGTGAGGATATGGGACTGCGAAACTGGAACACCTGTACACACCATGAAGGGCCACACGAGGTGGGTGCTTGCGGTCAGCTACTCCCCAGACGGCTCATTATTGGCGTCCGGAGGGTACGACAACGAGGTCAGGATATGGGATTCTGAGACAGGAAAGCAGGTTGGCGGTGCGCTAAAGGGACACACCAATTTCATCACGTCACTTTGCTGGGAGCCATATCATCTACAAGAGCCAGGGCGGCCGAGAGTAGCGTCTTCGTCAAAGGATGGCCTGGTACGAGTGTGGGATGCAGTCGGCGGCAAAATCGATTTCGCGCTGTCAGGACACAAGGGCAGTGTGACATGCGTCAAATGGGGTGGTACTGGACGCATATACACTTCTTCCCACGACAAGACAATCAAGGTCTGGAACGCGGCGACCGGCTCGCTGCTCAGTACCTTGTCAGGTCACGCTCACTGGGTGAACCACCTTGCTCTTTCTACCGATTTCGTCTTGCGCACTGCATACCACGACCACACACGGAAGGTACCGTCGACACCGGAAGAGATGGTCGCAAAGGCGAAAGCACGCTTCGAAAAGGCTGCAACTATCAATGGAGAGATTATTGAGCGTCTTGCGACAGCTTCAGAGGACTGCACTCTGATCCTGTGGACTCCTTTGACTAGCCCAAAGCCGGTCACCAGGATGACTGGACATCAAAAGCAGATCAACCAGGTTGTCTTTTCACCAGATGGTCAGCTTCTTGCATCTGCAGCGTGGGACAACCACGTCAAGCTCTGGTCAGCCCGGGACGGAAAGTTCCTCAACACCTTACGAGCGCACGTGGGTCCTGTGTACATGGCAAGCTTTTCCGCAGATAGCAGACTGCTCGCCAGTTGTAGCAAAGACACAACGCTCAAGGTCTGGGACATGAGGACAGGAAAGCTGAAGGAGGACCTTCCAGGCCACAAAGACCAGGTCTTTGCGTTGGACTGGAGTCCAGATGGCGACAAAGTGGGCAGTGGAGGAGCAGACAAGCAAGTGAGGATATGGAGGAACTGAGGAGCTGAGGAACTGAAGAAGGATAACACGTGGAGATCGTCAGGGCACTTGTTAGTTTGCGGATACCCAAACTTTCGAAAATCTGGGGTTAGAAGTGCGGCTGTGTGCGGAGGCTAAAGATGCGCTCCGCTTGCTTGCATCAACGGTTAGGAACAAAGAAATACACAGTGTGATGTGACGAGATCACGACCCTGGCGGGAAAGGTTCTAATGCCGTTGTGAAGCGTTGTCGGTCCTGAAGTGCTGCTCGTACATACAGTTGACAGGCACCGTGCCCAGACACTTGCACAGGAATTGTGCTGAGGTGTGCACTTGTTAACAGCTACCGGTGAACACAAATTCGATAAACACCACGGCAACAATCTGCCGACATCGGTTAGGTGCAACGATCCGTTAGATACCCTGGCGGTGAGGCTCTTGTTAGGATGTCCACTGTTTGCTTCAACGGTAGTGCGCTACCTCGGCTGCTGTGATAGGCAACTTACCCGTGGGCTCCAGTTATCCTAATGAGCATGCCCAGATGCGGTGCCAACGCAACAGACAGGTGACGTGGAGCAGCCCCACTCGACATTATTGCTAGCATCGCATTCGGTAGGTAATAAATGCAGTCGCAACCTCAAGCGTCGAAGTCTCCAGTCAGCCAACTGCTGCAAGCTGCAAACTGCTGTGCCAAGCATTCTCGAATCTGGGGCTGCGAAGCTTGGTGGAGATCCTGGCTGCACGCTGAGACGCCATCCCACACAATTCTCCCGTGTTGTTCTCAAGCGGCTTCAGCAGCGTTTGCGCTATCGAGAGGCTCGCACCTGGTGAAATGAGGCATTTTGGGCCCTGGTCGCGGTTTGTCCTCGCGCCCCACGACTGCTACTGTCCTCGTGCGAGTCTCGGGGGTCTGTGAGCTCTGATGCAGTACAGATAAGCAGCCCGCGCTCGATGACATAATTGTTGCTCTGCTCACGCACCGCAGCGGCAGCACGTCGATGCATGGGTCCCATGGTGAGCCGGACGGTAGCGTCAGCGGCGGCTGCAGCATCGCAATCCAATCTTTGCGGAGCAGCTGCAAGCTCCCCACAGCGCGAACATGCTGAGGTCGGCGCTGAAGAGCAGCTGCAGAGGCGGGCCTGGTTATGCTAGAGCTGGCCCCTAGCAATTGAGTGAATCGAGCGCCCAAGAGCCTTGGTGAAGTCGCAGGCGTTTCCAGAGCGGCCGCGATCGTCTTGACCCCACGTCAATTCACGTCGCGCGCGATTGGCTGGGCCTAGTGTCTTTCCCTTCTCCGGCAAGCCTAGCTCTCGATCGCGTTAAGGTTGCAAGGTCCCAACCTCTTCTCCTCACCAGCTGCTGCGACGTTCCTCTCCTCACTCTGCACTCTTCGATTCCATCCTCATCCTCTCCGCAGAGTCTACCAAAGCCCAGAGTAAGTCCACACTTTCGTTGTCTAGGCGATCGCCTGCCCCATGCAAGCTTTATTACCGGGCTTCCGCCGGGCCCGGCCAAACAGGAACCAAACAAATGCCTCATTACTGCAGAAATTTTCGGCGAGCCGGCGCATTTAAAAGCGGATAACGGCCTCGATTTCTTGAGGCTCTTTGTCTTTGATGCCCTGTCTTGCTCTTCCATCGAGTCCACCTCGTTCACCTCTGTCGCGACGTTCTGTGGAGATCCGCTGACCAGCTTCCTCGCCTACCAACAGCTTCGAGAGCTTCGATAATATCCCAGGACTCAACACCGCTTCGACAGAGGACACTCTCAACCAAAAGGTATGCTCGATACCTCCTCCTGCTAGAGCAATTGGCGCGCATTGGAGCTGTTGTCGCCGTCGCGCAAGCTTCAATGCTGTGTTGTCTGTGTGTGGACGCATTGGCCGCGGACCCTTCCCAACCCGGAATGACGCTCGGCCAATTCGTGCTTGTGCTTCGACCTTTCAATTGCTTGCCGTCGCGATGCATAGCTGCAAAACATCTCGTAGCGGACGTGTCTGACTGACGTTGCTGTAGAAATCTACACATCCAACACCATGGCCGTCATCTCCCACCTCATTGCCGCTCGCAGCGAGTACGCCATGGCCCAGCTGGCCAAGCGCGAGAACTGGGCTCAGCGTGAGCCTGGTGTCATTGTCGTCCTCGTCATTGTCTTCCTTGTTGCCTGCTTGTTGATTGGTGTATTCATCTCCAAGCGCGTATGTCATCCCAGCCCCCAATTTTCACCATCCCGACTCCCTCTAACATTGCTGTCCAGATGGGAGCCAACCGCGCCGCATAAGATACCCCCGAGTCGAGGAGAAGAGGAGGTGGATAGGAAGAGTAGAGGCAAGCAAAGACGAAAGCATTGGATACCAAACGTGGACTGGCAAGAGCCATACACCTGTATAATGTCTGTGTGTACCAAATCGGGTTCTGTTAATGGGGCTTCCTTCGATCACGCAAGGGATCGTAGTAGAAGGAGCCGCGGTAATGAGTTCAGATACCTTCAATGAACATGGTTGATACAATACGTTGGTTGTCGCAGTTGCGTCCTTTGCTCAACATCTTCCTCTACGCCTTCTTACGCATCCTTGAACGCAACTACTTGCGCCTTCTCAGCGCTCAGTGGTTCTGCAACTGCAACAATACTTGCCATAAATCACCAAATTCGATTCGGCAGACGCGATCTACAATTCACCATTTCCGCATCGGTGAGATGGTTCCGTTTTTCTCGCTTTCTTGAACTTTCTCACAATTGCATCCATCTCGCATCCAGGCCAGCACAATTGCGGTTGCTAAATTACTCCGGATCCACTCTCAACACTACTGCACCTGCAGTAGCCGCCCGCCCATATAGCGCGCTCGTGTTGGCAACCTGCAATTACAAAGACCGACGCGTCGCATCGCAAGCTTGTCAGCATCAAGGATGTATTATCAACAAGCAAAATTGTGCTGAGCTTTCTTGCTCCAGCCACCTTTACTTGCTTTACAATCCATGTTAGCTACAATGTTTGGTCGCCATGACGAAGCTAGCTAAGCTTCTCTCCAGTTGATCTTTCGGAGCACTAGAACCTTGGCCACTATGTCACTTGAGACATTTATCGTTGTTCTTGAAGCTCACGACAACCGTTAATGTCGCAGCTTCCTGCTGAGTAGGTAAGTCTGATACATGTCTCGGACGCTGCTACCTCGCCCAGATCATCCCCGTGTTCATGTGCTTAGCACGTAGCCTGAGGCACTCAACGACAGATAAACAACACATCAGTTCGTGCGCATCAGCCACGAGGCCAGGATCATGGTTCGATTGTTATTAAAATGCTATGTCCTTGCTCACGGTTTTCCTTTCTCGGACACGACCTGCGCAGCTAGGATCTCGTCCGACACATTAGCAGACTCCGCTGCTTGAACACCAGTCGTTCCCTTCTCGTCCTTATCCACTAGCAGCTTCTCTTCGTCCACTGTCTTTTCCACAACAGCCTTGAAGAACTCATTTTCTTTCCGCTCCGCCATCATGCCAAAGACACCCAACCTCTTCCTTACGGCTGCTAATAACACCTAAACAAGCAAATTCAGACCGGTGAACGCCAGTATGATAAGGAACTGGCGGTTATAGCTCCCGCCAAAAATCCCTGCGACTTCATTCTTCAACGTCTCCGGCAATTGCGCAAGCGCAGCACTCGATGTCTGAACGGCGGCTATCTGCTCCGGCGAAAGGTATGCAGTGAGTCTATCGGAAGTATACTCGCGATGCACAGCCGTGCAGATAGCCACCGCAACGCAACCGCCTAGCGTCCGCATCATGTTCAAGGCGCCCGTGCCGACAGAGATATCCTTCTCGGCAATCGACATCGCCAGCAACATGAAGTACGGAGGACTTGCGAGAGCCAAGCCCAAACCAACGATGACCTCATAGCCGTAGATGCCAGGCCAGAGATGTGCGTGGGTTGGTAAGCTGCCAATGAGGCCTGTGCCAATGCATACGATGGCCGCGGATAGGATGAGAACGTATTCTGTTGCGACTTTCTTTGCGGTGAGGCCGGCGGCCATGGCTCCGACGGGTGAGACAAGGGTGCAGGGGAGGAGCAGGATGTCTGCGCGTTCGGCGGTGGTGAAGTTCACGGTTTGGAAGCGTTGGGGGAGCTGGACGAAGATTACGTAGAAGGGCATGCCAAGGAGGAACATGCTCCTGGTCTCTTGTCAGTGTGTGTTGCTGGAGGATTTGAGTGTGCGAACTTACAACAGAATGAGTGCCATCGACGGAATGTGCAAAAAGCGCATTGGAAGATGGGTTCCGTCTTCGTTCGGTATGTGACCCAGGCCTCATAGAAACCGAACAGGAAGAACAACACGATACCAGCCACGAGCGTACCAATGATGACTCAGCTGCTCCAAGGGTGCGACACACCAGCCTCTTGCAATGCAAAGATCAGCGGTATCGGCCAACATGCTGAGAGGATGCCACCGATACCATCGACGCCGCGGATGCGCTCAGCATTTGACTTGCCGTCCTTCAGACTGGGCATAGAGAAGAAGATCAACACCATCGCAACGGCACAAATTGGGCCACTGATAGAATTGTCAGTCATCGACCTCCAGGGTGAATCGTCGATACATACTTCATGAAGAAGATCCACCGCCATGTCGTCTGATCTGCAATGATGCCACCAAGTAGCGGCCCCAGAAGGTTGGACATAGTGAACACAGAGCTGATGACACCTGTGTAGAAGCCAATCTTCTCCAGCACAATGAGCTTTAGGATCGATACGAAAGTGAGCGAGTAAAGACCGGAGCCTCCAATACCTTGAAACGCGCGGAAGACGATCCTAGATTGTCAGTATGTTGTATGCTTTCTGGGGGTGTCATCGTTTGAGCTGCTCCGCATGCTATGGAGAAAATGAGGAATATGGCACCACATGCCAGTGGGACGGTTTTCAGACCCCACACATCACTGAGCTTAGCGGTGATCATGAGAAAGCCTGGTCATGGTTATCAGGTGTTCAAGAGTGGAGATTTGTGGAACTCACTGTTGTATGTCAGAAGATAGGTAGTGACCAGCCATGCTGCTTGCTCCAATGCGTTGAAGCCACTCAAGATCTTGATGAGTGCGGTTGTCACGATGGTACTATCTAAAGCGGAGACGAAAAGACAAAACCATAAGCCAGCGATGATGGTATATAGCCTTGCTAGGCCGATATTTGGTACAGTTGATGGCACTGCGGCAGGACTGTTCGCCGATTTTGCAGACATCGTAACGTCTAGGGGGGTTTTCACGACGTCCAGAGGGTGCAAGGCTGACAGGCAGAAGGCTTCAAATAATCACTCAAGCCTTGGAAAGATAGCTGCACATATATGGCGGCAGTCAGAACCCGACAATCTGGGTACCCATCGCATCAATCGCCTGAAAGGTTGAAGTCTTGGAGCCGGCGCTGGGTTGAATGCCCGCAGCGCGGAAAGATGGGACGACATCAGGCCCGTATCTGCCTGATCATGTAAAGTACGTCCGTTAGGTACGTCTTGTGGCTTGCTCAGGTGGCTGTACGAAGAGGGCCGTTTCTGGAGATGCACCATCGAGACGAGGTCCAGCTTCAGCGAAATGCCAAAAACCGACACAGGACCAGATTTTGTCCAGGATATACTGAGTGCCTCCTCATTTTACGCAGAACAATTTGGAGGGGCTTCAAAATTAAAGAGTCTTGTAGGGTATCAGGGGATGCAGGTGTGGTGGGGAGTGCTGTCGGGCGGCACAGGCCTGAAGCCGTCAAAGCGCACTAGCCGAACCTTTCACGACAGCTTTCGTCCGCACTTTCAGCTTCCCAACTCTTCATCTTCATCGCTGAGTAGGAAAGGGTTGTTCTTCAGTTGTCACGGTACATGCAGTCGCTACGGCTCCTTTGACGACACACTCCTGAAGCGCAGGCACTGCGCTTGCTGTGCTGTGACCCAGCAGCTTGGGTGCAGCCGCCCACCATGCAATCGAGGGCGTACAATGTAGGTCGTGCAAGCGGCTCTGGTCTTGGTGCATACTCTTCTAGATTTCGCTCCATTATGCGCGTAGTTTGGTCTTGTTTGCTCAATTTTCAGGCGAAATAGGTGCGGTGTGAGTTGCGGTGAGTGGGTAGGCTCGTTGGGTAGTTTCGCGCCTTCCTCAACTGACGTCAAACGCGCTTTCCTCAACTTTCGACGCGTCGACGCGACTCACAATTTCCACTTACCTATTTGTGCTTGCCCACGGCGTCAATTTCCCACAAGAGCGCGCGCCTATTCCTCTTCGCCTCCCAGTTCCTTCTCCGTCCATATCAAGCCGTATTTCCACTTATTCCGTTCACTCGAATGCTGCCTGTTTCTCATTAAGGCACTAATCCAGCCTACGCGATGAGCTCGCAATTGTTTGACGCCCAGCTCTTAGTACCTGACAACAACGCATCGCACCTGCAATTGGTCGACCTCATCACTGCTGGCAAATTCACTGGACCCGGACTGCCGGATGTTGCTCATCAATATCTCGACGCGTTTTGCAACAAGAGCTATTCGAACGGTCGCCGAAGATGGGCTGGAATCGCGCTAGTCCACATGATGCGTGCGTCTGTTGGTGTCGTTCAGCGTCTGAAGAAGCTCGCGCAAGGGCCGTCTCGAATTGGTGCTATCATTCTCGATCCCAGTGAGAGTGAGGAACGCAGGATTGTTGCCGGTCTCATCATACGGCAGGGGCTCGAAGCAGGCATTGACTTCGCAGAGTTATGGGAGTCAGACAAGGTGATGCATAGCGCACCGAACTTTCCCAAAGATTCTAGTGAGCAATGGATGAACCAATTCCAGACATACCTGGACGATCTCAGCAACCTCAAGCTTACGAACCTGGATACCGACGCACTGGTGCTGTATCCCATGTCTCTTTCCGCCAACGATGGGTTCCAATGGACTGGCAAATCTGCGGTCGCTCTTATCGAGAGGGACTCGCTGACGATCGTCGTGTCCGACTCTACGCTTACCAATTTTCATTTCATCGACATACCGATCAGCCACGTCAAAGAGACCTGCATGCAACAGGACTCTCCACATGAAAGCCAAGAAGGTCGGTCCGGACACAAGATGCACAACTTGATTATGAAGTTACGGTCCACTTCACCAAGCTACCGTCTGAACTCATCAGATCGCACGGCATCTGAGTTCAAGACATCGTTCTTCCGCCATGAAGATGCGCACGAGTTCGATGTCGGGCTTCAGGACGCTCGCAAGAACTTGGCTAACGCCACCACTGCAACAGCCGAGGCAGTCAATCCAACAGCATCCAGCAGTTCTCCCAACGTAAAGCGTCAATCAACCGTGCACCGTATCGACACGATTCTTCCACCTAGACAACGAGAGGATGCTCATCATAGTTCGGACACCGGCTCAGGAGGTACATTGGACGGGTCTGTCTCATCGGAGCAGCTAAGGGAGGAGCAAAGCTCAACGCAGCATGCGGCTCAAGAGAGAGGCAAGGGAAAGCTGCCAAAGATCTCAAAAGCTACGAAGCAGAAGGTCGTACGAACTCAACAGTTGCCATCTGGTCCGTTCAAGATCACGAAAGCCAAAGTGTCCAAGAAAACGACTCCGGTCATTGATGCAAGCGAAGACGAAGACGAAGAGTTATCGGAAGATGAGTACAACCTGAAGTCAACAGCGACCACTCGCAGTTCTGTCACTTCCGCAACGGGCAGAAAGTCACAGGGCCGACGCAAAGTGAACGCTGAAGACGAAGACTTCGTTCTTGAGGTTTCAACGTCGAAACCAAAATCCACCAAGCGAAAGAGGGGCTCAAATGATGCGGCTGAAGCCAGTCGACCGACGAAGAAGAAGACACAATCGAAGCCAAGCGACAATTCTGGACCTACTACAGCCAGTACGACAGCGAAGAAGCAGAAGGCGAAAGCGCAGGAGAGCGCACAGACAGAACTATCTCAAGCTCGAGAACCGATGAAGCAACCGACTGCGCAGCAGAAAACCCAAAATGGGGTATCAGCACGCCACTCGCTGATCGGAGGGCTGTTGAAATCGAAGAGCCCTAGCAAAGCTGCTGCTCCAACATTCAAGAAGCCAGGCCAGCCTGCCTCAACGCCAAGCAGACAAAGAGCTCAGCCTGTCCGAACCACGCCTAAGCCACAAACACCCATTGAGACGTGTAGAGATCTTGAAACCCTCCCTGTATACGTCTCTTCGTCCACACCACGCAGTCAGGCGATCCATGATGAGGATTTCGGTCTTCATTATACTCCAGTAGATACCGAGATTCTTTCGAGTAACACCAAACGAGTCCCTGACTCACCGCACGCCGAGTCCACAGCGATATCTGGGCACGCCGACCGTGACGTTGTTCACAGGGAAAAGTGGATAGGGGATTTGGAGACCGCAAAGAGTGACCCGTTCCAGCAACGCCGAGAAGGCCAGAGGATGACTACCTTATACCGCCGTTTCACTGGAGAGAGTACTGTGGATAGCAGGCCAGATGCGGTACAGGAAGGGTCGTTCTCTATGCCAGCTGAGATCACCAACGACGATACCGAGGTCGATGAGCTGCAAATCAGCTTTGCGAGCCAGCCATTGCAGAAGCATAGCCCGAGCCTGGCCAAGCACCGCACAAACATGCGCAATCAACAGAGTATACAAAGCTCACCTGCACGTGTCAGGGGCTTCAAGGGCCCATCAACAACCGTGAAGGAATCACCCAAAGCAACTACAGCAGCACTCCCAGAGGAAGCGAGAGCGCTCAGATTTGAAGCCACACGTAGCACGCACACCTCGCAAAATGGGTCAAACCGCGCACAAAGAGAGCCAACACCTGAGAAGTCCAGACCTGCTTTTATCGGAGCTGCAGAGAAGGGTCGTCGTGTGGCTGAAAATACTTTGGACAAGCGGGCGCAAGCCTACGACTCCATCATCTCTGCTCCACGAGAAGCAGTCGAGAACACGTTGCCCGAAGTGCCAGCTCAATCAGCAGACCAGGTTGATCTTGATGGCGACACAACGCTCGTTGGTGAAGAGATGGATTTGCCTGAGCAATATAGGGCGAAAGCATCAGAACTACGTTTCAGATCCTCCCCGCCCATCCCAGATTCATCGAGCGTTCGAGGCGACTTTTCTGATGAGTCTGAACCAGAGCCGGAGCCGTCACCTCCAACATCGCGGGCAGATGAGCTCGAATGGGAAGCCGCTCTCCAGCCACATCAGCGTGCTCTCCACGAGCAAATGCTGCGAACCACGAAACGCGTTATGCGTCACATCGTGGACAATGAGACAGCTGTGATCGATATCGCGGACATGTTTGCTGATGATGGAGAGCGCCTGCTGGGCTTGCTACTCGAGCGACAGAGCAATGAGTCTGCAGTGGTATTCCAAGAGCTTGCGAGCAAGAGACAGGATCTGCTGAGGGAGTTGTCTGATGCGTCCAAGAACTTGAAGGCACAAAGGAAGCAAGTCAAGACCGTTGACTAAGAATATCACTACGTCCCCAACACATGACGCTGATCTTAGTGCATTATCAACTAGATCGAATACCTTCAAGGAGGCATGATTTACGATATCGGGCGTTTTAGTCTAGCTACGTATGTATAGCTTATGCGAGCAGTGTTTATTCCATGGAATCTCTACCGCTTGGGAGATGATGTAACATGCAGATGTGTAGTTATCTAGTCGGATCGGAGGATACCCTGGTGGATATTTGCGGAAAGAGATATGCTCATAGTTCGAGCTTATATGCATGGAGAAGCAATACTTTGTGCGATTGACAATGTTTGCAATGTTCAAAACATTGCTTTAAACACATCAGATTCGTGCAATTGATCCTGAGCGTCTACCGGATAGTGGTCCAGACTGTGGGTGCATAACTAGTTGCCATTATAGCACGGAGGATCCGTTGGAGGAGCTCAAACAGTGTGAAAGAAATTTCAGGAAGAAAGAGCCCGACTACAGCCACAAGGTGCGTCTTTCGGCATCCTTATATATCGTTCCTGTGAGGTCCGGACGGACAATTAGCAGATCAGATGCAGAAATCCAGAAATGGTTCAACAACCGCGTCGTGTCAGTACAGTATAAAAAGGTCGCAGAGTCGATCCTCAACAAGCTCAAGGAACCGGTCAATGAAAACCACAAAGCTGAACAACAGGCAAAGATCCAAGCAGCCGCTGAAGCCGAGGCCAACAAGCGCAGACTGAAACGACATTTCTTTGATCAAGACAAAGGCCCTGTATCACAAGGAGATCATAACAAGCATATCACGATCCAACAAGACCCTAGGGCGCTGTTGAAAAAGATCGAGGCCGGGTCAGAAGGTTTCAAGGAAGGTTCGGATCGTCTGAAGACAAAGCTGCACTACTATCAAGGTCTTATCCCCATGGCTGAAATGTTTCCAGACCTAACGGAGTTCTTGGAAAGGAAAGTGAGCTTCTTACAGACGCAAATATTGATTCAGCGAACTTCCCAGGCAAAGCGCTGGAAGACGTGATACGGGTGAGCTTCAAAGACTGTAAGCAACAGATCGGCGACAACAGGGCACGCAGACGAGAGTTACGTGAAGAAATTTCCGATATCTATAAAAAGTTGGCTAAAGTAAGTGCGTGAGGTGCAAATATTGGTCATCGCACCAACTTGTACAAACCTGCAACCCCAAAACAGATACGATGTCAGTCTGAATGAAGCAGTACCGGGCTGGGACGATGCCGAAGACACACCCTCGCTCCAGGACTGAGGTCTATAACAAATAGTTGACAGACATAGGGAGAACATGTCACATCAGAACATTGTGCAAATCTGTGACCATCAGATAGGCTTATTCCAGCGATCTTGACATTACTTTGAGATCTTACTGATATCTTGTATCAGTGCTGTCAGGTATCCAGTACAATATCTAAGCTTTCTGCGCATCATGACCCCAATTCTTCAAACTTTTATAGCTCTTGCTGTTCGTATCCTGCTTAGCCTTCTCCTCCTGCGCAAGATGCCTCTTGCAGTACGCAACAACCTTGCGCATGTGGTCGATGTCGTCTTGGTCGTACTTATTGGGGTCTTTCTTAGGGTTCTTCTCTAGAATGGCGACAATTTTACGGCCGCTGTCGTGGCCGATGGTTTCGCCAGAGCCGTCGTCTTTAGACCAGCCGGCACCGGCAGATTCTTCTTGACCGAGCCAATCTTGAAGCTCTTTGGCGGACATGTTTACGAGTTCATTGAACTCCCTGTGTTGTGTCAATATGAAACTCTGTGCTTTTCAAGCTGGTTCCTGCGTACTCAATGACGGTATCGTTGTCTTTGACCATTTTGCGTGGTGTACTTAAGAGCCTTGCTATTTGAATTGCTCCTTCGAAAGTGTGTCTGTAATTTTGAACAGGATAGGGTTTTGACGGAGAAATCAGAACGCTTCTGGCGTAGCATTTCGAGCTGCGATACATTGACGTCAGGACTTGACAACGAGCAGCACGTGACATGGCTAAAAGCATCTTAAGCGACGGGACTTCAGCGCCGTGATCTGTGACTGAATGTAAAGCTCGCAAGAATTTTAAAAATAAATTCGGAAACGTGAAACTCGCAATCGTTGTCCCTAATTGATACCTTGCCATGTGTCAAACATGTCTACATTCTGTCATAGCAGCGACTAGGCCAAGGCTAGCGAGAAACTGCGAGTCTCGAATTTGAAAGTGCGAGGTCTGCATAAGTTATATAGAGTAGGCGCACACTCTTTTGCAGTTGTCACTCGATTTCCGTCTTCTTCTCGGTTGCTGCCATGGATGATGGAAAGTGTTGAGGCTGGGGACTCCGCGCCCTCCGCGCATCCCCTCGCTGCTCCATACGACTCCGCCCTCCACGTGTGCTCCAAAGTTTTTAGAAAGAAATCTTCGGGGCCCCGTTATTTCTTGACATTTCTTGACCTCGATCGACGGACTCAATAAGGACTCCGCCCAGAATGGAGCCGATAATTCTCGAGGCTTGGCACGGATCATGAAGGCCGAACACAGCCCCGTATGGCACCCTGAATCTGAGGCAAAACGAGCTACGTTGTGCACACGTCTGCACGTCGCTCGACGAGGATCTTCTTCAAAGAGCCGCAAGGGTGGAGTTGATACGAGTCAGTTTTCAGCCGCATGTGCGAGATTAAAGAGCCGGAGTAGGATTGATGTGGAGTTGCGTCGCAGAGCCTCACTAGAAGCTTGGAAATGTTGAGACTTGCACAGAGAGTGGATACGATAAACCCCCACTCACTCTCCGACACTCCACATCATGAAGGAGACATGCAAGCGCGGGCAGCGATCCGGGATCTCATCTCCAGGACAGTCACACGACACTCCACGGAACAGCACGGCACAACGGTCTGTCTTCTGTCGCGGCACGTTGGCAGTTGACTAGTTTGCGGGGAAGATCACATCAGTGGCTTGCAGCCAACGCGATCTCAAGATGCTGGTAACAAGCAAAAGGAAGCCGCAGATTTGGACTGGCGCGTGCAATCCCCATCCCGGTGGGGGATTTGGACTCTCCAGTCACGTCGAATGTTCGTTGCTTGGCTTGGTCGAATCTGTTGGTTCGCGCCTGCTTTCCCCACAACATTTCTTCTTGGAGCAACCCCGGTGTCACACAGTCAAGACACGCTATGCGCCTTACAGAACTTCCGAGATTGCTGTTGGCTGTAGCAGCAGATCAGCCAAGGTTATTGCTGCTCGTGGAGTGACGGTAGTGGCGTGCATGACGTTGTTCGCCAAAGCGATGTCTCGGCATAAGCTGGGCACCTGGGCATTACCACATGGTCTGCACAACAAAGGCATTCATACTTAATGTCAGCGAAGGAAGCAAGGGTAAAACCTCATCGAAAACGGGATCGACTCGCACCAGAACCTTCAGAGAAGCTGCGAGCTCACCGTTGCAATCATGGGCCTCGGTAAAGTATCTATCAAGCTGCGTGGTGCAGAGGTCGGCATTGAGGCCATCATGCTAGGAGTTGTCACGTCGATAGGTGGTAAGTATATTCACAGGCGCTATCATCAGTTTCGTGCTCACGATATGCTAGGCTTCCTGTTTGGATACGACACTGGTCAGATTTCCAGTATGCTGTTGTTCAGAGACTTCAAAGAACGATTCGGTCAGTACCGAGACGCCAATGGCGAGATGGCTTTCGACGTTGAGATCCAATCTCTGGTCGTCTCCATGATGTCCATTGGTACTCTTGTTGGCGCACTCGCTGGAGCTTACACTGCCGATTGGTTTGGTCGACGACGCAGTCTGTCCATTGGTGTTGCTGTCTTCGTGATTGGTAACATCATCCAAATTACTGCTATGTACTCCTGGGTCCATTTGATGGTTGGTCGTATCGTGGCTGGTCTGGGTGTTGGTGTTCTCTCCATCGGTGTACCCATGTTTCAGTCTGAGTGCTGCCCTCGTGAGATTCGAGGCGCAGTTGTCGCATCGTACCAGCTCATGATTACCATCGGTATCCTCATCTCGAACATCATCAACTACGGTGTTCGCGCCAATCCCGGAGAGGACACCGACGCTTCCTGGCGGATTGTCATCGGTCTTGGAATCGCATTCTCTCTTCCTCTTGGTATCGGTGTCCTTTTTTCGCCTGAGTCGCCTCGTTGGCTCGCTGGTCGCGGTCGCTGGGAGGAAGCGCGCATATCGCTTGCCCGTCTGCGTGGAAAGAAGGATGACCCTAACGACGAATATGTCAACGACGATTTCAAGGAGATGCAGGAGTCGATCGCAGAACAGTCCAAGGCCGGCGAGGGTACCTGGGCGGAGCTCTTTACTGGTCAACCTTCCGGCATTCCCCGTCTTGTATACCGCACCTTCTTGGGCTGCGCGCTCCAGTTCTTTCAGCAGTGGACCGGTGTCAACTACTTTTTCTACTACGGTGCAACCATCTTCGAGTCCGCCGGTATCGATGATCCTATCCAAACCCAGTTGATCCTTGGTGCCGTCAACGTTGCCATGACTATTCCCGGTCTCTGGATGATCGAACGTTTCGGCCGCCGTATGCCTCTCGTCTTCGGTGGTCTCTGGCAGGCGACTTGGCTGCTTATTTTCGCCATCATCGGTATCGTTCGCCCACCAACTGAGCACTCCGATTCTGGTATCGTCATGATTGTTTGCGCCTGCATGTTCATTGCATCTTTCGCTTCCACCTGGGGACCTTTCATCTGGGTTGTCATTGGCGAGACCTTCCCTCTCCGTACTCGTGCTAAGCAGGCCTCGTTCGCAACTGCATTCAACTGGCTCGGTAACTTTATGATCGGTTTCTTGACGCCCTACGCCAATGATGGTATCGGCTACGCCTTCGGTTTCGTCTTCTTCGGATGCAACTTCTTTGCCGCGGCCGTCGTCTACTTCTTCGTTTTCGAGACCAAGTCTTTGTCTCTTGAGAGCGTCAATGACATGTACATGGACATGTCCATTAAGGCGTCTAGCAGCAAGAGCTGGGTGCCTGCCGGTTACATCAACCGTGACGAGCGTGACATGGCCTACTGGCACCGCCGTCCATCCATCCTCGATGAGCGCGCAGGTGCTGCACACGTTCCTAGGTCGGTCGATGAGAAGCTTGATGAGAAGGACTCCGATAGCACTCCTCGCAACAGGTCGATGCATCGCGAGACCATCGGTGACGATAGAGTGGTTTAAGCTTGATGTACAAGCTGCTGGGCGAAACCAGCCCTTTCACGTGGGTGTAGTTTACCTTATGCGGTACATGTTCATACTTTCAGTTGTCTCATCTCTAGGAGGTATCGTGTATAGTATAACTTCAAGCAAATATTCCAATCAGAATTTCAAGTAAATATTCCAATCAAAATTTCAAGCAGTTATTCCAATCAAAAATTCAAGCTTGTTATCTTCCTGCTCATGATCTGTGGATTATGCTTCTCGTGGTGAACTGACAAAGTCTCGCTCGGATGCTCGGCGCAAAGAATGCTCAGCCACGTCCATTATAGCATAACAAACGTGGCGCACGTACGTTGCAAACCGCGTCAGCTGGCAACCCCAGCCAGTCCAACCTCGGAGATTATTCCAACGTCGACAAAACCACTCGAGCTCCCACTGCAAACATCTTTCCTACCGTCTCTCGCGTCACAACACACATCGCATCAAAATGCCACCAACAATACCCCCTTCAGGACTCGGCAAACTAGCGTGTCGCGCCCTCATCACAGCCGGCCCAGCGCTTGTCCAGCCACACCTCCACTCCTTCGAGCGTCGCGGCCTGAGCGTGAACCACACGCAGGGCGTCACATTAGGCGTGCTCATAGCCTACATCGTGATCATCGCTATCCTCTGGAATGTACCGTACATACGCTGGGTGCTTTGGCCATTCAAAGTGCGTTTCCTTCAACTGCACCCTCAGCTGGATGCACGTGACTAACATCCCCAGATGCTCGTAATCGCCTTCCACGAATTTGGCCACGCGATCACCGCCTGTTGCACTGGCGGGCGCGTCGAGTCGATCAGTCTGGACCCGCATGAGGGTGGCGTAACGCACATGCGCGGCGGCAAGCAGTTCATTACGCTTCCCGCTGGGTATCTGGGGTCGAGTCTGATCGGGGCGCTGCTCACGTTCTGCGGTTTCAATATCGTGGCGTCAAAAGTTGCGAGTATTGTGCTTGGCGTGTGCTTTTTACTGACGCTGTGGTGGGCGAGGAAGGATTGGTTGACGATTATTACGATTTTGTTGGCGGTAGGACTGCTGGTTGCGTGTTGGTTTATCCAGCATGCTGAAGCGTTGCGATTTGTTGTGGTAAGTCTTCAGTCTTTTCGTTGTTGATTTGAATCGTTTGCTAACGTTGGATCTAGCTCTTCATCGGCGTCATGTCAAGTCTTTACAGTGTTTGGGATATTTGTGATGACTTGATTCTCCGGAAGGTAAACTCATCCGACGCCAGTGTATTTGCGAAGAGGTATGGTGGCTCCTCACAATGTTGGGGCGTGCTGTGGTCGATCGTCTCTCTGGTTTTGATGATCTGCGGTATCATTGCAGCACTGGCGGCGTTCCCACAGGATTGGGAACAGCAGCAGAAAGACAGCCAAGACTTCATCCCAACCGTTCGTATGCTGTTGAGAAAATGAATAAGCGGCAATTATTTAGGAAGCTACATCACATTAATCAATAGTAGTCTGCCACCTTCAAGTTTGTTGTGAACAGGAATTAGGTCTCAAGACCAATCCGCAAACATATTGTTCAAGGTATTCTTTCAAGGACTCGGAGTTGCGCAGTATGGTAGTGTTGTGAGTATGCAGTCATCTCCCTCTCTCACCGCATGCCACGACCCAACACTTTGCACCAGCAACTATTCAACACTGACCAGAAAGGTATAGTACTGCTGTAGATAGCAGGTATTGGGAGCTGAACAGTATATACCCGTGACACCTTTACTCCTCCATTATAACCCCAACAACCCCTAACCGTGATGCAGAAATGGTCACCTATATTCAATGAGAGCATTGCCAAACAGCTAGGGGAGAGCCCTGGATGCAATTATTAGCCCAGCGGCAGCGTCATCAATGCCAAATCAGTACTAACTCCAGCATCAAGGGTGAACATTCAACCACCCCAAGGACTCCCTCAGCGGTCTCCCATCCGTCAACTCGGCCAACTCAACCACTTTCTCAGCCATTTTATCAGCCAGCTGCAGTAGTACAAAATGAAGCAGCATTTGGTGATCAATACTTGATGAGTGGATCTGACTTGGGTGCTGATCTGTTTATCAGTGATACAGAGCAAGAGGATGACGCTGGAGCACGTGAGATTGAAGGACCAGGATGGGTGAAGGACCAGGATGGGTGAAGGACCAGGATGGGTGAAGGACCAGGATGGGTGAAGGACCAGGATGGGAGAATGACGAGTAGCCGACCAAAGATGAGATGGAAGAGGAGTTGATTGAAGAGCTGAAAGCACGTGAGCATAGGGAGATGAACAGGGTAGAGGAAAGGGTAAGGTTATTGGCAAGATGGCAAGTATTTTCAGGCAAAGTGACCCTTAATGGGATGGACAATACCAAAGAGAGTCTTGACACAACAGGAGAGGCTGCGGAGAGGCATGATCAGCAAACAGTCAACGCTCCGACAGGCGCAGATTGGGTGGGCTAGGCTCCAGTCGGCAGTCTGAAGGGTGATCGGGCAGGAGTGCTGCGGAGATTCTGGGGGACGTGAACGAAGCCCCATCCGCCAGGCGAACCGAGTGCCTGGGAAAAGTTGCGGCAGATGGTAGCGTGACAGCGCGACTACACTGTGACTGCATCGTCATCCCATCTTTGGTGGTGAGTAATTCCCTCAATCTCTGGATGAAGCTTGCATTAGATAAGCATCGTCCTGTACCTAATGCGACAAAACCAATTGCCATCAGCATCAACAGCGCTCATCATGGAGTCGATATGTGTGGAAGGGTTGAGATGTTGATTAATCCTCTGAACTATTGGCTGGACTATATAGTAGAAGGCAATAGCAGTGAAGGGTGGGAAGCAAACTGAACTAATCAAATGAGCTGGACAGTCACTGCAGCGGACCGCTAGCAAACAGATGGCAATCGGTGGATACCTTCACCCCTCCAACAATATGGCCAGCCTTCTGCGACAGTGCGCTTATTAGCGCCCCGTCGCGCATACCGTCTCTTTTACCAGTGCCTGCACACATCAGCAACACAATGTGCCACACCTCTCCCACACCCGTCCGTACCTGGACTGCCGCCAGAGACACCTACGCCGTCCGCCTCAGATGCATTGGACCGAGTCGCGAGGAAGCAGCGGTAGGCTGAAATGCTGCAGCAGCAGGCAAAGGGCACCCGCACAAGCGCAGCGAAGCCCATCAGCGTGCTGAAGAGGCGTTTCTGGAACGATGTCAACGTCAAGGAGAGCGATAAGGGCCTCCAGGTCTGCCTCGACAACTGCCCCGTCCGCACTCCCAACAAGGACACACTCACCGTCTCTGCGTCGAAGCATCAGCTCGCCACCGCTATCGCCCTTGAATGGGACCTCCTCGTTAGCGCACAGCAGGCCCTCAAGACCCATTACATCCCCATGCCCTCCCTTGCCGCCGGCGCTATCAACATCGAGCTCGCCGACTAAGGACGACGAGCGCGTCCGCGACTCCATCGTCCAGCTGTGCATGCACTACCTGTCTACAGACACACTACTCTGCTGGGCGCCTAAGCACGTTCCCAACGACGTGAAGCAGAACAGCAAGACACTGCGCCAGCTACAGGACGAGGTTGCAACAGGGATCATCGCATACCTTACGAGCAACGTCTGGCTCGGTGTACAGATTAAGCCTATCCTTGACGCCGACAGCATCGTGCCCATCGACTAGCCCGAGATTATTAAGGGCGTCATCCGCGGCTGGTTTTCAGGTCTGCCTGCCTACGAGCTCGCAGGTCTTGAGTGTGCGGTGCTGACAAGCAAGAGTGTGTTGATTGCCTCGTGCCTCGTTCACGAGTGGGCCGAGAGCTTGGAGGTCAGGTGGCAGACCAAGGCATGGGGAGAGGTTGAAGACATGCACGATGTCGAGAACGAGGACATGAAGCGCCAGCTTGGTTGCATTATCCTTCTCGTTGGCGGCGACTCTGTGTTCGCCAGCGGTCCGTCGCAGTGTTTGCCAACGGACCGTTGCAGTGTTTGCCAGCGGTCCGCTGCAGTGATTGTCCAGCTCATTCGGTTAGTTTGGTTTGCTTCCCCCAGCCCTTCACTGCTACCCCCTTCTACTATATAGTCTCGATCGATTGCAGCCAATAGCTCAGAGGATCAATCAACACAATCATCTCAACTATTCCACACTCTGCATATATGTATTGATGCCAGGTACGATAGATGTAGGATATACGATGGCAAGAGCGCTGTCTTGTAGGTGAAGCGAATGATAACGACGGACGCCAGACAACAACGGTCCCGACTCTCCACCATCCTCCACCAACCACCTCTTCGGCGAAGACAAGCACAAGATCCATCAACTGACTCGTCCCGCGTCTAGGACACTACAGGCGAACGGGCTCGAAGTGTCGAATCGATTCGTACATTTGTTGCCATCCTATAAAGAGATGGATCGCGACTTGAAGATGTACCATTAGGAACCACAACGTTCTACCATCGCTCTATGGCAAGATACCACCCTCCAAGGGCCGGAATAAGTGTGATCCGAAAGCTTTACACAATGCCCGCGGCCCTAACATCGGTGGAGGTGTTGTTCAGAGGTGGTGCCCCTGCTGTTCGTTCGATGGTCGCATCGCTGGGTCTCTGCGCCGGTCGCATCATGATAGTGTTACGGTCTGCCCCAGAACCCCCATACCTCGCCAAGTTGAACTCCTTCTCATAGATTGCCTGGAAACTATACTTCGCATACAGACGCTTGCCTTGCTCTGAGGCTTCCAGGTAAGTCTCGAGACAGTGTTCATCCGCTTGCCTGAGGATGTGCTCAAGAAGCATTGCGCCATGACCATTTCGACGATGAGCGGGATGAGTAGCGAAGACATGGACAGTCAAGCAGGGCCTTGTCCCAAGTCTACACCGACTGTCCTGGACATGCCCATAGTAGTCTCTCCAGGCAAGTAAGTTCACACCAGGGAGCGGGGTTCTTGTTCTCTCCAAAGCCTGCTGTTCTTCCGCCGTTCTTTCCGAGGTGAACAGCTTCCAATGGGCTATTGCGACTATTTGCCTGGACTCCTGGTCTACGACTTTCGCGTAGTATGCGTTCTCCTTTTCGTGCATTTTCTTTTGTCCTTTCTCCACTATGGATCTCATTGCATCGGCTGGAAGCCCGGATGGAAAAATGAAGGTTGAAATGCCGCCGCTGCTTCGGAAGGCAGTGTACTGGAGTCGAGTGTACTCTTCGTACTCAGCGTCGAGCAAAGGCTCTACCTGGAAGCCCATGATCCTAATCAATAGACAACAGTATGAGCGCTCTTGTTGAAAGGTAATTCTAATCTGAAGCAAAGAAGACGATCATGTTGTAAGCTTTGATACAGAAGCGCATGTCAGCAGGTAAGCAAGTTTCTAACCGAGAGCACTACGGTATCACGTCATGCAACATCAGCCAATAACAACGTGATGTAGGAGTGGCGCACTCAAAGCACCAGGTAACGACAGCTCCCTACCTATACTGACTGAACTTCAAGAGAAGTGATTGCTGATACAAGTTGAGAGCGACAGATGTCCTTCACAACGCAATACTACGAACCACCTCACAAAGTTGTTACCTCGACAGGAGCCAACACCCCACTTCCTCAATCTTGACGCGCAAGCCAAACTCGGTATCGCCGTCACAAGCCATCAACGCCGATCTAGAAAATCTCTCGTGTGGTTTTCACCCAAGTGAACTATCGATCCGAGACTCAGGTTACTTGTGAGTACCATTGCAGGTCTGACAATGGGCACTATTGTTGTTCTCAACAGGGGCTAGGTATCCATTGCTGCTGCTGTAGCCACCCGAATGCTGGTTGACAGCGTCAGCAAGATGAAGGGATTGAGACACCTGACCGGAGGACTCACTCCCTGAGTACGCCCTTGAGCTGCATTGCTGCTTACGTTGCCTTGGACAGAGCCTGGTCCAAAATCTGTTCTCTGCTGTTAGTTCTGTGGTCACAGGAGACATTTGGGATGTGGGACCTACCGTTCATACTGATGAGGTAGGTATAGGGCCTCTCAGAGGCAGTGTTCAAGGCGCTGTTGGACTGAGACGACATATTGTCGGTATGAGCGTGAAATCTTGAGTAAATTTTGGATAAGATAGTGACAGTTGGTGGTTTGAAACGCTAACGAAGTCTGGTTTGTGGGTGATGCTGAGGCTGTTTTGTTGCTCTTCGTTCTGGCGGAATCATTAACAGTTTAAATATACTTCGGTATCCTCAAGTCTTTGGCAATGTTCTTCCCATTGATGTCCAAGACCGAACCAACTGGTCAGCAACGTTGGAACGGCTTCATCGAGTTCCATTCATCGGATTCAGGTCATCAAGTTCCAAGATTCAATCCACTGAAGGAGGTACATCGAGTCCGCCTCATCAAGCGGCATACATAGAATGGGATACGTTGACCGGGGCAGCTCATCGAGTATTGTTCATCGAGTGCTGTCCGCCGGATGTAGGTTCTGAATATGCAAAAATGAAGCTGACTATGCAAGTTTGTGTTTCCAAAATCCGCCGGTACGATCTCTTGAGTAGCTCATCGGTTGTGGCTCAGTGATCGTGGCTCAGGAAGGACGCATAGGCATATGCCATCGAGTTTGGTCCTATTGGGTTAGACTAGACCACGTGCCATCTGACAGTGCTCTTATTTCTCATCGGTTTTCTCGAGCTCAGCGCTAGCCCACACCTGTCATTTGCCCTGATACCCTCCTTTCTCCGGACAAAGGTCGAAGCTGAATAATTTACCAGAGCACCTTCTGACCGGGTGGGGTCGGTATAGTTGCACAGTTGTACGACTTTGGGCCCACATAGGCTCAAATTTGTTGTAGGACTGGTGCCTGTTGACATGTTCATTGAGTTCCCAGATATCTGTGAGTAATTCTATTGAGAAGCTTACATAGACGCCATATGCATGTGATTGGCTCTCTGCCTTCATCGATTTCACACTCATCGGTTTTTCGGAGATTTTGTCGTGGCAGTGTCAGTCAACCGAGTGCAAGGCTCGAAGCCTTCGGTCATGCTCTACCTAGGACGCTTGTTTGCTTAGACCTCGATTGAATTTCGTTTGAGCAGAAAGATTTAGTGCATCATCGTATGCCGCGAAGGTGCAGTCGTGAGGCAGCCTTCAGTCGTCTTAAGTGGGATAGCAGTTGTCACGAGCTTGTTTGCACATATAATGTCGAGCTGAGGTAACACAGTAAAATTTGAATGGTGCTGGTCTACATTCCCAGATTCAGTTCGAGCATCCAGGTCCAAAAATCACACGATGAACAGATCATGTTTCCTGTGTAAGCGAGCGCATAGCTCAACGATGCGCTCCTCGTTCTCCGCGTCAACAATGCCATGACGAATAAAATGCGCAATATACGTAAGAGTCCGGTTCGGCGTGAACTCTCCCCGCATCAGAGCCGCTTGAACCTCCTTCAATGACATGAGCTCGAAACTTTCCACCTCGCCATCATGTCGCTGTGGTACTACACCTTCCAAAAGCTCCATCTCGTAAACGTACTGTGAATGGTGCTGACAGCCAGGACGTCCATCATTGGTAACAGTCATCTGATACGTCAAAGTCCCGCAAGCTATGATATGTTCACGAGTGTAGGCTTCTGGAATGCCTGTCTCCTCGAAAACCTCACGTACCATGCCATCGATAGGACGTTCCATCGAACCTAGGTTTCCAGCAACGAAATTGTCGAGGAGACCTGGGAACGTCGTCTTGTTGTATGATCGCCGGGGAACCCAGTACTTCAGCCCCTGCTCAGTTCGTGTGAAGCCAGTCAGATGTACTCCTTGTGTGACAACGCCAAACAGATCAACACCGCCTCCGTCCATGTCTAGCACGTGTTCGCCGCTTGGAGTGGTGATTGCAAAATTTTCATTGAACCATTTCCGTACTACGCGATTCTCTTCGAAGTTGGCTCGCAAGGTGTCGTTCATCGCTTTCGTGCGGCTTTCGAAGCTGCTGGGTAATAGGATGATCGAGTGGCTGTCTTGCTCGACCTTCCATTCATCTGACCATGTCATGTTGTCCAAGAATTCGCGGTGCATGTAACCAAAGGGCTGAGCGTATCCATCTACCATGAAGTAGTAGAAGTCCTCCATGTGCTTTTTGTAAGCTGTCGGATCTTGTTGGTAGTAGGGCCATCTGGTCACAGTGCGTTAGTAACGATGGCTTGCGCGAGTAACGGCCATCGTACGTATCCATCTCTTCAATGAACTTAAAGGCAGAGAAGACTTCAGCCCGCACGGAGGCCATAGTGAAGAGATTGCGCATGCGGCGCAGGATTGGCATGGTTGACATTTGAGGCTTCAGAACGAAAGAAGTCGTGCACGCAAACCTCAGGCAGCCCAGCAGCCTGCTATTGCTGGACATCGAGCATCTCGCAACCTCTATATTCTGTTTGAACGATGCCTAGCGGATGAAACCAGCAAGGCGCAGTTCTGTGACTGGATAAATGACAAGGTATTCTGGCGTAGATTGTGCCGCATTTGTCACGTTATCAGGCTACCCCGCGCTACGTTTGCGTATGTTCATTGGCTAAAGAGCCATGCGTCAGACGAGAAAGCATTGTTTGCCAGTACGGCGGATAAAAAACGCATCGAAACACAAGCCAGGCATGTGAGAGTGAAGCATGAGACTCGCTGATTCGCTCAAAGGCTCATCGACTTTCGGAGCTTTGACCACGTGGCTGATTCAAATACGTCTTCATCGATTTTCTGCGCCAACCAGTCCATTCATCCAATGATTCTCTCATCGGGGTTCACGTACAAGGCTGACCCAGTTAAGACGAGTACCAAGCGTGCCTTCATCGGATTCATGCACAGGCCACCGCAGAGAAGGCTGTGCTAGCGGCGACTTGCATCGTTCGTCCGCCTCATTTCGACGCGTGCAGTCGGAGGGCTTCATCGGTCACAAACCTATTGGCCTTCACCAGCATGGGTAACTCATCGGTTCTGATCGTACGCAAGCCACCACAACAACACATGGGTGTGACCTTTGCTTAAGATGGATGAGGTGTGCAGTATCTGAGACGCGTGTCGACTTGTTTGAAGTGCGCTGTTGTTAAGGACTGTCACATATCAGTATACTGCGCCTGCTGAGATCATCCGCCGCAAACGCATGGCAAGCAATACCGACGATGGCACTGAAGACGAACGTGCTACCCAAGCTGCAGCGATTCTTGGTCTTAGTCCGAGCGCAGTCCTAACTTTTTGGAGACAACAAAAGAGTCAAACTCCTGATCAGTCGTCACTCACTTTCCAAGGATCAAGCATCAGCGATCCAGTCGGTGCAAACTCCACTGCACATACCACCCCGCAACGAGAGCTTCAACGGAATCGACCAGCAGATGAGGGCTTCAATGCATGGGCGATACCTGAGCAACAAAGTCACGACGTCAGCCGTTTCTACGATCCAGGGCAGGCAGATTACCACACGACATTTGGAATTTCGGACTGGCTGGAAGAGCTGCCTCCTGCAAACGACCGGCCTTCAGCTCCCATCGATATCCCCGTCTCCACGCTCTCGTCATCCTGGCCCATATTCACGATCGAAGATCTCAACCAACAGTCAATACATGCATCGAACCAACTACCGGAAACGATCCCTGTCAACAACTTCGCTGTTTCCAGTCATGGACACGTGCCGACTGTGCAGACAGTGGCGACTACCACCAACGTCGGTTACGGTGGCATTCCGTCACTTGAGTACCCCAGCGTTTATCTTCTGACAGACGCTACACGCCCTGGTTACGATGACACTTACCTCGCTCAGCCTGCCGACATCAACTCAACCGCGCAGCCAACTCATGGCGCCCAAGCACGTCCTAAATTAGCGCTGTTAGCCCCCAAAAGGCCAATTCGAGGTGGTAACAAACCGACTATTCGAGACCAGTCTTCCTCAACCGCAATTTCGCGACATCGTAGGAAGGTGTATCCGGAAGACAAGCTCAAGCAGACCAACAAGACCAGGGAACTGGCATCATGCGCACGTTGCAAGGCTCAAAGGCGTCGGGTAAGTACGCCCTCTCACTATGTTGTGATGACGTGCAACACAGATTCATCGTAGTGTTATACTTTACTGACCTGGATAGTGCAAACCAAATCCTGAGGGTGATCATCTCCCTTGTCTCACATGCCTGACCACAAAAGCTGGACCCAGATATGCGAGTCTCGGATGCATTCGTTCCAGAATATCTGACTGTCAACTTTTCAGGACCGGTGTAGGGTTCTATACATTTTATCAGAAACATCCGATGATAGGATCAACCTACGGCGATTTCCATCTCCAGGAAAGTCGAATGTGGGTTAGGGGTGAGTTACATATCCTGGAAATTACTCAAGACATGGGCCCTGTTTGCCGTTTCGAGGTCCGCCAGTTTATTCCACCGGTAGAACCTGACGCGGTAGACTTGAAGGGTCGGTCGATGTACCACGTACCCTGGGCGATTGCTGATGCGGACAAGACAACACGTGCTTTCAACGTGTTCCTGGACAAGAATCTTGTTCCGTACTTGAGAAGTGTATTGAATGAGGACGACGAGCTCTTTGGGGAAGTTTTCAGATCTGCTATTCGGATTGCGCATCCCAATGCACCAAAGCCACGAGTCCGTTGCAACCTTATCTCCGATCAACGACTATGATAGCTAACACGTTCTCAGAACACATTGGTCCACAAGACTCTTCGTCTTTGGGTTGCATGCCGCTTTATTGAGGGGAAGTGGCGCTGTTGTGGATCAGATGTCCTTCGGGCCGGAGAGCTGAAAAATCCCTTTCGCTCACCAGATTGGGTTTCCCCACCGCCATACATCGACTACCAGTATGCGTCCATCATTATGCACCGCATTCTTGGTCCTCTCAGCAAAGCCGTACTCAAGGAACTGCAGGATCTGGTCGATAAGAGGAAGCCGAGGGATTGGTATACGATCTTCCTTGTGACATTCATACTCCTGCACAACTATGAACGTGGGATCTTATTCCAACGGGTTTTCTGGGCGAAGAGACGCATGACAGTAGGTTCCAGAACATATGGGCTATCACGATGCGGCTTACTGATGTCGACTCAGCACATGTACCACGATATGTCTCACATTCGAGCAATACATCACGGTGCAAAGACCCTGCTGACCAATTTCCATGTCTCATGCCGAGGCAATGTACCGTTCGGGATAAAGTTTGACTGGAATACTGAAACTGCTCGGAAAATGGCAGAGATCGACCAGGAGCAAGTCAACTTCCTGACCAAGTTAGGGGTCCTGGTTCGGCAAAAAGGTAATATGCATAGCTGTTTCACTGCTCCAAACTGATCTTGCAATATCTGCTAACATCTGGCTCAGAGGAAGAGATGAGGCTCATCAACCAGTCCCACAACTACGAAACACCATACTGGTTTACGAGCCAGATGTTCGAAGAGAAATGGTCTGTCCGATCAACCCTAGAGCATTCACCAGAGGCGCAGCCTTGGCCACTTAGGCCCATATTTGGCCCTGTAGCCCCGCACGGTTAGAGTGATATTGGAGATTGGATCTTCTCTCACATTATATCGTCTTGTGCAAACACTTGTACACTAATCCAGGCTTGCACCATAGTCCGTGGGGTTTTCCCTTCTAGCTGCCGAAGTCAATCGTTCCATTATTGTATTTCTACATGTTGCTGCAAGGCGAATGGTCACACTGAGAAGCGACCTACGACTCACAAGCCTTGAGTGGGAACGCGCCCAGCTCCGAGATCTAATCTGCTGATTGGTTCAAGTCTTGGCTGTTCATAGCCTTGTGTGAAACTTTCACCCGGCTGACGCATTTCATTCAGATCGAGACTAGAGGGAGAAGGCAAAGGTTTGCCTAATGTCTTCCACCTTTTGCCTTGCGCCGCAAGGCGCACTTATGATAACGTGCTGTCCGATGATTGGGTATGTGACACGGAAATGCACACAGTCACTTCGGGCTGCATTGCATGCTGCACTTTTGTCTCTCGCTACAGGGACTGGACTTGAAGTTTACAACGTGGTGCTTCCGTATTGGGTCATATATTCATAGCGACTTCTGCGCGTGACTCGATATCGCTGATCATGGTTCTCTGCTTTCGTTTCTTTGCAGATTTCAGCCTGATGGACGGAAGAGGGGCTTCCGGCCTTTCAAAGCTACCATCTTGGTTATGACTCTTCATAAGTCCGACTTCATGGACCCACCCGGACCGGTAGCTTTTCTCCAAGATAGTTCAAGCTCGAAGGATCAATAGCGTCTTTTCGTCAATTCCTAGACAAGATCTACCATCCGTTTTCTACGATGGCGCCTAGTATACTGGACAACACTCCAAGCCAGCAACCTTCTCCTTATGTTCCAGCAGCAAAGAACTCGTTGAGTAGAGTCCGACAGTGGCCCAAGTCGATCAATAATGCCTTGACTTGGAGTGGTTCAAGTTTCCAATCTGAGTCCGATTTCACTCTCGAGGCCACTGAGAGTCACAACCAAGAACTGCGTCAAGCCCTTGACAACTTCCTGAGTATGAGACAATCAGTATGATTTGGACTAGTTAATACTAAGACTTCGAAGGTCTAGGTCTAGATGGGCGTGAGATAAGTCCCGAAAACTTCTTGCTTCCCAAACTTGGGGACAAACTACGACAAGGCGCGTTGGACGTGCATAGCGGCAGAGGTTTTGTCACCCTCCGTGGCATCGACTTCGATCGCTACTCCTGCGAGGATGGAATCCTGATTTTTCTGGGTATTTCCAGCTATTTCGGCGAGAAGAGAGCAAAGCAGGATGACCAAGGCAACATGCTCATGCACATCCGTGATGCCAAAGCTTCGTCTATTTCACAGGGCGAGAGACCCACCAGATTTTCCAACCGGGCTTCGGTATGAAGATACCTTCAATCAACACCTGCAATACGAAGTACTGATCGAAAGTAGACCTTCCATTCAGATCCTTTCCCCAATGTCTTGGGCCTCTTCACCAAGAGTTGTGCCGCCAAAGGAGGAAATCATATTGTAGCATCGTCGGTCTCGATATACAACGAGATTGCTGCAACCCGACCAGACATACTGGAGTCCCTGGCGGAGCCTAATTGGCCATTTGATAGGTAAGTCTAGCGCGAATTTCAGTATGAAACAAGCAAGCTGACGCACTTCATAGTCCAGGAGGACTGATCGAGCGAGAGTTGCGACCTATTCTCTTCTACCACGGTGGTCACATCATCTTGAATTACGCTCGCGAGCCTCTGTTAGGTCTTGGCGATGTTCCACGGACGTCTGGGTTCCCGAATCTGACCAGTGCTCAGCGTGAGGCGCTTGACCTCCTCGAAGCCACTGCTCAGGCGCATCGACTCACGTTGAAGAACCAACCAGGTGACCTTGTCTTCGTCAACAATCATGGACTGCTGCACTCCCGTGAGGCTTTCGAAGATGATGGAGAGAGCAGTCGCTACCTGATTCGCTTGTGGTTGAAGAATCAAGCACTGGCGTGGAAACTTCCTCGTGTGTTGCGGGAAGGAAATGAACGACTGTTCGAGAGCAATGAGGTGGAAGAGCAATGGAACATCATGCCATTGCCAAGGCTTACATTCACTGTTGCTGAAAGGTTGAGCTCTTAGCTCTTAAGTTGGTATAAGCACATATCAGATGCACCAGTCTTCCATATTTCATAGCTATGTTTTCAATCAACCATGAATCCTAAGCATCTACAAAGTAAGAACCACGTGGGTCTTACTTCCCACGTCCAGGGTGTTAGACCAGATGTGATTCAACGTGCAGGCAAGCTAATGCAGGCAAGACGGAGGCGCAGAAGAGCAATGCAACCTGCCAACAAGTGACTGTCGTATAATATGCTCGCCAGTCCGCATGGCATACAAGGGTGCCAGCCAGTGATGCGGGTATGATACCATCATTCGGACTCCAGCACCGTATCGTTGGACCAATACAAACGACCCAGGTGACCTCGACCCCGCATTTGTCGATGGTTGAGACTATAGACTCGGATGTCGCGTTCGGTCTGCGTTGCCTCCACAGCAACACTGAACACGACCTCAAGTGCTAGTCTGGGCCCAGAAACGGCGATTGCTTGTAGTTGAGCGCTCAAAGCTGTACCTATCTCTACAGAATTTGACTATAGGACATATTTGAGCATGGAGCCTTCCACCGCGATGCGAGATCACATACTTAATCCAACCGCAATATACAGCCAAATACAATCATGGGACAGTGTCTTGAGACTGGAAACAGGCTCCACAGGTGACTGGGGGGTATCAATGTTGAATCCCAAAAATCGTGTCGAGAGCTTGACACCCCACAAACATGCTACCTGGCGCCTCGACGGCGTTGACCCTGATGGCACCCGATTCTTTGCTTATCCGGAGTCTGCCATCGGACGACCACCTGTGCGGATCGATGTGTTCATCCCTGGCCAGCAGGACCATCCTGTCGAGCTGCGTACAATACTGCGATCTGGCTGGACTGTTCGCGCAAGAGGAAAGCAGGCTGCCAATCTGGAGATATGTCAACATTTGTTGCGCGCATTGCAAAGTTGGGGGGCGCGAACACCCGGATTTCAAGGGCAGTATTGGCAACTGCCGTTCGGCTCGCGAATCGTCGTGAACGACATTCGGGCAGATGTCAACAAAATGGACATCGTCTTCCACCCAGTCTACAACATTGAGCAGAATTGGCTTTCGGTGGAGGCTCTGCAAAAGATGTGGTGTCTGGAACCGGCAGCGTGGCCGGAGGCCATCGACCTAGCGGACTTGCAATTGCACAGCCAACCACACGAATCCATCTCACTCGTCAAACTTCCCACCCGCCATGGTACGGAAACGTTGGTATTCAAGTCGCTTCTGCAGGATATCAAGTATATGTATCACGAGCTGAAAATGCTCCTCACATTGAAGCGGCATCCCGGCATCATAGGACCTCCACTTTACATCGTCAAGAAAAAGTGTCGATTTGGGGGCAAACATGGTGTTTGCGGTTTTTTAGTGCAGCATTATCCGCTCGGGAATCTTGGTAAAGTGCTCGAACAATCTGCTCGAGGCATACCGAGCGTTTTGGTTACGTTGAAGGACCGTCTTCGGTGGGCACGCCAGATCACTCAAGCACTGCTACACATCAACAGCTCACCAATGGGGTTCTATCCCGACCTCAAACCTGACAACGTCGTACTTACTCCGGGTGTTGATGGTCTTGACGCCGTGCTGATCGACCTCGAGCAACGAGGCGGCTGGTATTCCTGGTCCCCGCCCGAAGTGCGCTACGTGGAGTATCTCGAGTACATTGCAACTAGGGTAGAATGCCCGCCAGTCCGGAAGAAAAGTCTGGCTCTGCTCACGTCTTATATACCCGGATGGAAGTTGTTGACGCAGACCGACCGGTACCGCGACTGTTCGCAGGGCTTCAGCCACGCATGGCTAGCGCTTGAGCATGACGAACGCGAAGAAGCTCAAGTGTTCATGCTAGGTAAGCTACTATGGTGCATATTTGAAACCTCAAGCAGCATAAACTGCAGCATTGGGTTTGACATGTTTCGAGAGCAGGAAGCCTGGCACTCTTTTCCCGACTTCAAGTACACGCCTCTCAATTTGAGAGACTGTATTCGTGCATGCACAGAAGGAGCACCGGAGTGGGATGGAACGTTTCGAAGCATCGTGCGAGTGGGTGCTAAGCTGTACCCCTTGGAGCATCCCGAAAATGCGGGCCCCCAAGAGACGCAAGACGCTGCAATACGATGGTGGACAAGAGAGGTCAGAAGCGCGAAGCGCTTCATGGAACAGAAGAACAGGCCCTGGCATGGTGAAGATAAGTCCGGAGCTGTCAGGGCCAGGGTCAAAGAGCAGGCGCGCCGTCGACCGAGGTTAGAACATGTTCTTAGGAAGCTTGAAGAGGTGACCAATGAGAGATCAGAAGGAACTGCGGCCTGATTCCCAGTGAAGGAAGTGCCTGGTCAGTGACGTGGAAAGCTGGCGGGTACCCATTTTCCGTTGTATTTTCTTCCTAATTCGAGCATTACCTAAGGTTGTCCAACGCATAATGCATCCTGATGGTATTAGGTCACGGTACAAATTGCGCTTTCAAGCGTGGCACCACGTTTGGTCTGAGTATTCTCACCTGCACCGAGATCGTACGTGAACCAGCCATTCCATCGGTTAGGCCAACTCGATTTTGCGGGGTTGGCATGCCAATTGGCAGCGTTCCGAAATATAGCAGGCATCTTCGAACAGTTGTATCTGAAGCATCGTAAGATTGTGAATATATACCTTCTGAAAGCAACTTACTCCAATATGGCTTTGTGTGGAAGGGTTGAGAGTATTGATTGATCTATATAGCTATGGCGAGGATCCATCGGGACTATATAGTAGAAGGGAATAGCCGTGAACGGGTATGGAGGCAAATCCGAGCTGACCGAATGAGCTGGACAATCAGTGCAGCGGACCGTTAGCAAATACTGCAACGGACCGCTGGCGAACACTTTGTCAGGAGGGAAACCACTGGTAGGGGAGCGTCATTGGGTGTTGGACGCCAGTAGGCTGCTGCTTGAGCTGGCTGTTGGTTTGGTCCCGTTAGTGGTGGGATCAGCCACTCCCGTCGTTGATTGTACTGCGCTTGAGTGCATCCTGAGATGATTGAAGCAATAAGAACAAACTTCATTGCACGTTCAACGGTGGAAACCCAGGTATTATACGCCGATGAGAACTTCCACTATAGAGTGTGGTCGTGTTTAAATGCATTCCAACGTTTGCTCTTGCGTGTTCACTAGCCATAACTGAGATGCCCAAAGAAGACTGAACCCAGAAGCTGTGCAATCAAGCCTGACGCTCCTGCTCGTACGAATGAGCCTTTCTCAACCGGCTGGACCAGAATCTCTCAACGTCCAACGACGTTTCTCCCTCTAGAAACAGGGATATTCCGAAAACGACTGCTTCTTCTGTCTTGTAAGCCATTACCCATGCGAAAAACATCTTAATCCCATCAGGCAGGCTTGTCAGACGTCCATAAGTCATTTCCTTTCCTTGACTTCCATCGCTCCGTGTGACCCCACGGCCTCTGAAGGCACCCTTGACTTTCTTGATGACTTCCGTGTTTTCAGGTCGATACAGATATGCATGCACTTCTGTTACGAATTGACCTAACGTGATGGGGCGGCCGTCCTCGTTGTTGACGCTAAGGTAGGGGGCAGCTTGTACCGATACTCCTCAGGGGCTGCAAACTCCATGTCTCGTTTCCTCGCGCAATCCTGGCTAAACGCCTCAATACGGCTCGTTGGCGGCTCAGCAAGAGACTCATTTGCGGCGGGATGATCAAAGAAGAGGAGGTAAATCGTCTGATCGTACGGTCCGCTTGCAATCTTGACGTCGTCTAAGCCGCAACCTCTTCACTCATAGCGATGCACTATGAGGCTTGCTACAACCCTTGCTTGTAACGGGTATTCTCTACTTTACCAAGGGTAGCTAGTCCGGGGTGAGGTAGGCTGTAGGGTATGTTGGATTGTAGGAAGATTTTGCAAGATTGAGGGTCGTAGACAAGAACTTTGTTGGTAGTGATGTGAAGGGCACAAGAGCAGTACTGTTGGAGGATTGTATTCTTGACTACAGAGATGCTATCAATGCTGCACAGGGTGCCTATATACTGAGCAATTCTGGAGGGTTGGTGGGTTAGTTGGTACGCAATCCAGAAAAAAGTACGGACACCAATCAAAATATGCCTCGTAAAAGGGGTACCAAAAACTTGGATTCACCAACAAAGGCACGCATCCATGGTGCTGCTGAGTTCAATGACGCACACGGCACCAAATACTTCAAAACAGATCTCTTTAAGTTCAACAAGGTGTGCCACTCCCATGGCTATGAAATACTTGCTTTGGACAATGAGGCAGCCAATCATATACTCAACAACAGTGTTTATCAAGAAACATGTGGCAGACCACTTGCTGTTTCACAGAAGAAGCTTCATGAGATTGAACAGTTCTTGCAAGATGAAGGATGGGATGCCTGTGTTAAGACCTGGGATAAACTTGTTGAGGAATTTGTCCTGGACTGTACTGGAGAAACACTACAAGAGCATATGGGTTCAATGGACCATCACAAATGCATTGCCTGTTACAAGGGATGGGTATCTCAACGTTGTGCAAAGATGAGAGTCAAACATAGTGAAACTATGCTTTGCTCTCAAGCCTAAGAAAGAAGATCAGTGTGAGGGCCGGTCCCACCTGAGCTACACCGACCAAAGAGGAACAGTAACCCAATAGATATGGGTACTGTTGTGTCTCTGTTTGCACATTGATTGTTGTGGAGAGGGCGTGGAGAGCAAGCAGTAGGGAACATATGACCGCAGGAAGGTGAGCACCAGCGGAATATCATAGTCAACAACATGGCATTGTTGGAGGTTGGTGTGCTGTCAAGGTCACAGACCAGAATCCTGTCTCCAGTTTGGTGTTCATGCAACAAAGAGAGGAAGAGAGCAAATAGATTTGGATTAAGCCTACACCTGGTAGAAGGTGTGGTTACCAAAAACAGGAAGGCGCATGATGGCCTTCTTGAAACGGTGCTATAATAGATGGCAGATTGCATGGGAGAACTTGTTTTCAATGTTCTATGGTTGTATGTGAAAGATATGATGAAAACAAATATAAACATTGTCGGTCAAACATGGGTCCTGACAGCTGATGCAGCAACAAGCTAGCCCACGTTCCTAACAACAGAGAATTGTAACATGTAAGCGGATACGTAAGTCTGCGTGCAGATGGCAAGATCGTCCTTGGTCAGACATATGTCTGTTGGTGTTCGGCGCGATTGTGTATGCAAACGGTGGTTCCTGAAGGTACGGTTATGCGTAGCCATCGTAGTGTGTGCCATCCCGACCTACATGTTGCAACCAATCTCGACCATTCCATCTTGTGGTGTCGGATACAGAAACCGACGTGATACGTCTGCATCCCGTTACTGGCACTGCTGAGCATTAGCTGCAACCCCGTGCCTCTCAATTCCATCATATCGTATCAACATCCTTCTCTTCATCCAAGTTATGCAACGCCAAACGCCAATCCAATGCACCACAGAGCGGAGATACACCATTTCCTCTTCAACCTTTCAACCCCATATTCCTAGCTGAACCAAGACTTGCCCTTCCTCGCCTCAGCCCTAGCTTCCATCTACACATTGTCAGCCATTATACCTATAGCATGCGGCGATTCGTTCGCATCTCGGCGCGCTTCATCATCGTCGGGCTCAACATACCCACTGCTGTTTACAATCCCTATACGCTCTGTACCTAGTCAGCCACCTATCCTTCTCCACACCCAAACAACGTCCCTTCCCACATTCCACACCCAAACAACGTCCCTTCCCACATTCCACACCCAAACAACGTCCCTTCCCACATTCCACACCCAAACAACGTCCCTTCCCACATTCCACACCACTTACTGGAAGAAATCACTACACATAGCCCTCTCACCCCCATTGCGCTTCAGGCACCTAATACTCTTATCCGCCGCCTCCTGACACGGGTCGAAGTACTCGCTATACGCTTTACTAGTATCCGTCAGCCTCTTCTCAACCCTAAATCGTATACGTTGCGCATGGGAAGGTACGCGTACTTGTCGAACTTTGTGGCGGTCGGGCCCGACCATTCGGGCTTATCGTTCTCGCCGAGCTTGTCGGTCTTTGCCATGGTGGATCGTAGTGGTGATCTGTGAGTTTGCGGAGAGAAGGGAGGAAGGGGAAGAGTGGCGCGCCGCTATTGATGAAACTTGGATGGGTGATTGTTTGTGGAAGACCTCGGTGGTCTGCGGAGTTTCGTTATCGATAAGGCGACAACCGCGAACCATCTGGACGAGTGCGTCATAACGTGACAGCGCGTGGTGCTTGTGCGCATTCAAGGGACCGTAATATCATAAGGAAGTTGCAATTATTGATCAGGGCATAGTGGTTGAAACGTCAGAAAGGATTGAATTGCATGAGCCACTTTAGCTCCGTATCCGTCTTACATGAACTCGCTCAAGAGTGTGGTATAGTGCAGGGTAACGACGCCGAACAATGCACACGAAACCGACATATCCGTTTTGATGCCGCTGAAAGACAAATGTCGTGATCATACCCTCGTGAAATGCACCCGTTCCAGGATCACTGTCCAAACACCATACCCTATAAAAACACCAAAGGAAAGAAGTTGAGTCGTAACAGGAGCACTGATCAAATCAGTTGACCGGTGACTACAGGGTTCGCTGTCCTGTTGTTGTTTTGCACTGGTGGCTCGAATGCCGCCAGTGGGCCAATGTTGTTGCCCTGCCGCGAGCGGTACGCATTGTTGGTGTACGCTGTGACCGGGGTTGTATAGGCCTGTGTTGGAGGTAGAACTCCAGGTGGTAGAGCGTTCAACATGTTGCGATTGCTCCTGCGCCGACCTAGAGAGGGGCCAGTAGAACCATCGTGGGCGGTGCCAGCAGAATTGACTGAGCCCATAGACTCATTCGAGTTGCTTCGAACATGTTGAGACACACCTTGTGCTGGTGCCATAGGGGGCATGTTTCCAGCACTTGGTCGGCGGAAGCCTGACGAAAACGGATTGGTCCGTGCCGGTACAGTGTTGGAAAGACCAAGGGCCTGTTCCCTGTTGTTGCGAAGCTCTCGAGCACGAGCAGTCACATCGTCTGGTGTCAGAGCCATTGGCACTCGTGCCATTGATGGGCCCGCCATTTGGCTGTTCGGGCCAGGCGAAGGAGGGGTTCGCAAAGCCCTAGTAGACGGCTGAGCGCTGAGTCGACGGCCCGAAGGCTGCGGTCGTAAGCCAATCCGTGAAGTCTGTGTCCTCATTACCGGTGTGGGAGCCGCGTTTTCACGAATGTTGGCACGTGAGCTAGTGGGCCTCAACGTAGCCGTCGATGATTGTTCTCGTAGTCCTAGACGAGAGTTGCGAGCTCTAATGCTGCGCGACACGTATGCGGCCCATGGGTTGGCAGGACGAGCGGGTACCGCAGACGCTGGAGCATGCAGACCCATGTTAGGAGGTGGGAAATTCGGATAAACAGGCGAAAAATTGGCGGAGCCCCTTCGACCTGCTGCTGATGGAGGACGAGCGCTAACACGGCTTTGAGGGCGATCGATCATATCCATAGCTGCGACGGCATGCGTGCGCACTGTTTGGTCGATGGAAAACTGCGAGTTAGGCGTCGATGTTCTGGGTGTCAGGATGGCCGAATCATCGCTTGCCGAGCTGAGAGAAGGTGTACGATCATTCCGGAATGCGTTCTCCATGACATTGGCTGATGGTAAGGCCGGGGACATGGCACTTCGCCTGTTAGGAGATGCCATGACGCGCAAACCGAAGTTACTGTTGTCCATCAATGGAGTGCGCATCCGTTGGGGAGGGAGAAATGGGGAGAAAGAGGCTGGTGTGGGACTTTGACGGTTGCGGTTGGACGTAGGTGGTCGATTGAGTGGTGTGATGGAGCGAGATTCGATGTCTATCAAGTTACCGCCCATCTGATGTTGCTGCAACGCAGCTTGGTGGGCAGCGAACATCCAGCTGATACGAGGATCGTACTCGCGCCGTTGAGTACGCGCGGCACGACGGCCAAGGCCAGCTTGCGAGTTGTCTGAATTGTCGTCGGTGTCTGCTTCGTTGACAGCGTTGCCTCCTTGAGCGAACCGAGCTGACGCATTCTGAAAGGCTGAGCTGTTGCGCATCATCTGTTGCGAACGACGATTGCGAAGAGCGTGCATTGCCATATCAAGGTCGCCGTCTTGGTCAGAGTCGTCATCGTCGGCTTCGCCATCCTCGTAATGGGGAGTCGCATTTGATAGTACAGAGGATCTTTGTCGGAGGCCACGGGAGGCATCGAGTGCTCGGAGGTTGCCCACTCGCGAGGGGGGACGGATTGGGGCACTAGGCCGAGGACGATCTGCAGTAGGTGTTAGAGAACCGCCCATTCGGCTTCTGTCATTTGAATTCGCAAGCGGTTCCCACCCGACGGTCGTAGCTCCTCCATCGCTATCCCCATCTTCTTCATTCATCTCATCGTCATCCGTTTGACGCATCCAGCCTTCGTCCTCCAGTAGTGCTTGAGTGTCCTCGTCGAGATCGGCAGTGGAAGCATCCATCGAGGCTGATGAGGATGGCGCAACCACACGAGCAAACCGAGATCGAGTGCCATTAGCCCTGTCTAACACATGATTCTGTGCTCGCGGTCTTTGTGCCTGGGGTCTCTGCCCTCGACGGACAGGGCCAGTGTCTTCTTCGTCTTCTTCGTCTTCTTCGTCTTCTTCGTCTTCGTCCTCCTCTTCGACCACACTTGATATCGTTGAGCTGGACTCGGACTCCTCTACGACGGGTCGTGCTCTGGCGTGTGCTCGTGGCCGGTTTGCTGTAGGCTGCGGTGTCTGGCCGGGCGTCGACGAAGCACCACTGGCAGAAGTTGAGGGCTCCAGAGCTTCATCGTCGATGAAGTCGTTCATTTCAGAGTCTTCTTCCTCGTCTTCCTCTTCGACTGTATCCATCTCGTCGCCGTAGATATCTGAGACGATACTCTGAGAATACGAGCGCCTGCTGCCGGCTTCGCTGTGAGACATGTGCCGCCGGGAGCCAGCATTGTTGTGTTGGAGGAAACGGCGCATCACGAAGCCAGCGCCTGGATCGCCAAGGTAGTCCTGCCAGCCATCCATTGGGTCGCCAAAGCCCTCGAAATCGCCTTCTTCGAGGCCCATAGCCGCGTCGAGGTCGTCAGCATCCTGCTCTGACATCTCGTCCATGTCGCTGAAGCCCGTGAAGCTGTTGTCCCAGGATACCTCGCCTGTCTCGTCGAAGACCAAGCCGCACTGTGTACACCCGCCGTCCTCGAGCTCCCACGTGCATATTGGACATCGATCGACGCCGTCCTCTTGATCGCGGACGATGTGAAGCGAAGGGCGCAGTGGGTGCGCAGGTGCGTTGAACAGACCCTTGAAGAGTCCTCCCGTGCGAGGATCGGTGTTCTCGCGGTCTTTTTGCACGGCATCAGCGTCGTCTTGCTGCCATTTCTTGTGCTCTTCGAGGCTTTCGCCGGCCGGTAGGAGGTCGGCCCGAGCGATGAAGACGGCGGTCATGTCCCGGATCTAGAGATCTAGTTAGATGAACCTCGTGCCTGCTCGAATGCTTGCACTTACGACATAAGCGGGCGCAGGCAGATGCTTGACGTCGATGCGGCAGTCGGGACATGTCAGCTTCGACTTGTTCTGCCTCAGATTGAGGAACCACGTGCAGAGACACTGCGTATTGTCAGCCAACAGTGTCCAAGAGCAACGGTGCCAGATGCTTCTTGCCGTGTAGCAGTACGTATGACCGCATGCTATTGTGTATGGCTGGTATAGCAGACGGTCACAGATCTTGCACGTGAGGTGCGAGCGCAGACCGTCAAACTCGGATTTCAGAGCCTTCAGTTGCTGCATAGTGTTAGCCCCTCTCTCCGTGCTGTCCATGTCCGATTTCGAAGCGCACCTCGTCTGCCTTGCTTGGCCGCGGCTGCTCGTCGACCTTGGCCACCATCTTCTGCTTAAGGCTGGTGCTGCTCGCCGCCCGCGCTGGCTTCTCCGCCTTGGTTTCCTTGACGAGCCTGGAGGCCGAGAGGCTGGCCGTCGGTGTGCTCCCGCGCGACGCCCGTGGGGCAGTCGACGCCATGCTCTCTACCTTGACGGGCGGAGTTGGTGAGGCACGTGAATTGCTGCTGTCCATGGCAGGCGTTCTAGTTCAACGGCCCGCTCCAGCGATGAAAGGAAAGATCGGCTGCCCAAAGTGCCCGCATGAGCCGCACGTCGTCTCAGTCACGTTGGGTTGTCGGTGGCAGTCGCGACCGCTGCATGCACTCCCAAGAGTAGCCGCCCTAGCAGCCTGGCGTCCGGGCGGAGGAAGAGCGTTCGTTTACCGGGCCGCTGACTGGCACCCGTTCGCCTCACTTCCAGCGCTAACCGCGCACCTTCACTCAACCAATCACTCCAGTCACATTCTCGGATATGCACGCCAATCACAATGCTACACCTCACGCAACTTCATCACACTTGGGGCAGCTGTATCAAGAGACCAACCTTCCTTCACCTTCAATGTCTATTTACGTCTCAGAGCTTCTCCAGAGGGACAGCCCGATTTTCCGTCACCCAGATCTTCTCTTCCTCGCTCTTGAACGCCGGAGGAAACATGCCGTTGATCTTCCACAGTCTCCTCTCTGTCTCGTCGATATGGAACTCCCAGTCGTAGCCTTTGTCGCCAACATGCGGTTTGAGAGCAGCGTCTACCGCATTGGCCGTTTTCTGGTAGACTTTGTCTTCGTTCGGTAGGGTTACGGCGATGTGCTCGATTGCGACTCGAATGAATGGCTTCTCTTTGCTTAGCTTCTTGCCGCCCACCCACACGGTGCTGCCAGGCATTTTGATGAAGTTGACAACGACGTAGAAAGCGGGAAGGCCAACACCTGTGTATATCTTGGTGATGTCGGCTGAGAGGGCTTCTTTGGATGCATCGTCCTCGAACGTGCCGTCAGGGTGAAAGATCAGCCAGAGGGGCATCTTGTCGGTTTGTTAGATTTTGGTGAAGTGTTGGATCAACAGGGTTGTGTATCGAAGGCTTGAGTGATGTTGACTGTACTGCTGGAGCGCCCACTCCAGCCTTGTTATATTCCTGTCTGCAGGCATGCGGAAGTTGCTTTCTTCCGCAATCACTGACGATGATTAATCGTCAGGACTTGTGAGTGCCTCCCAGGTCTATCAAAATGTTGCTGATTACTTATTACTCGAGCTTGTATGTGGAGTCTTGGATTGTTGACCCCTGATTACTATTCAATCAAAGCACGAACTGAGCTACGACAGTATGCCCACAACATAGATCACCCATCGTGTCTTGACATGCGGTCTACAGAAGTATCAGTTTACTTGATTCCTAAACACGCAATACTAGGATTCAGTAATCATCTCACCACCTCTGACCAAAACACATCAGCTTACCAAGCCCTAGAGGCATTCGAGATGATCGGTTCGAATAAGAAGCACCCAGCTGCTCAGAGATTCAACACACCACAGCAATAAGTTCTTCCACTCACCAAATTCCAGAACACCTCATACTCCACTTCATCATGTCTCAACCCCTCATCTTCATCACCGGCGCAACCGGCTTCATCGGCTCGCACGTCGTCACCCAAGCCCTCTCCGCGGGCTACAAAGTGCGCCTCAGCGTCCGCAAAGAAGCCCAAATCGACAGCCTCCGCAAGCTATTCTCAGAGCATGCTGCGAGTCTCGACTTTGTTGTTGTCCCAGACTTCACCAGCCCAGATGCCTTCAACAAACCCCTTGAAAATGTGACATACGTCTTCCACCTCGCCTCCCCCTTGCCCGGCAACGGATCAGATTTCGAAACAGACTATCTCAACCCAGCGGTTCAGGGCACGATAGCACTCCTCGGTGCCGCTAAGGATGTCGACACGATCAAGCGCATCGTCATCGTCTCCTCAGTCCTCGCTCTGGTCCCCCTCGACGCCCTCATCACTAGAAAGCTCATTGTCAAAGGTAAACTCACCCACACAACACCATCTGCTCATCAACGTCACTAACAATCCCACAGAAGGACTCAACCCCTCCATCCCCGTCGACCCCCAAATGTCCTTCCCTGAAGACCCCCGCGCAAGCGGCAGCCTCAAATACCACGCCTCCAAGATCCTCGCGCACCGCGCAACTCTCTCCTGGGTATCCGCTGCCAAACCCTCCTTCACCATTGTAACCCTGCACCCCTCATTCGTCTTCGGCCGTGACTTGACGCAAACGAGCGCTGAAGCGCTCGGCGGCACAAACGCCATGCTCTGGGGCTGCCTGACCTCGCCCGCACCATTCATCCCGCCGATTGCAGTCGACGTGCGCGACGTGGCTTCCGCGCACCTCAAAGCGCTGGAGATTAGCGTGGGCAAGTCGGATGAGGTGGAAGAGTTTATTCTTAGTGCCGGGGAGAGGGAGGGGTGGATGTGGGGACGCGTTGCGGAGTTTGTGCGCGAGAGGTATCCGAGTGTGGATGTCAAGTTGGAGGGCCCGTTTGAGGAGCCGCCGAAGGTGAACACACAAAAGGCGGAGGAGGGGTTGGGGGTGAAGTGGAGGGGAATGGAGGATACGGTGGGGAGCTTTTTGGAGCAGCAGATGGAGCTGAGGGGTCAGTTGTAGATGGACGTTCACTACCGTGTCCGTGCGCGTAATGCGCGGATTCGCGTAATGCGCCGAACCACCAAAATAGGTCCACCAAAAATGAGGCTGTAGAGCCACACACAATGGTTATTATCATGAGATTTTCTGGTGGAGTAGTCTATAGACCTATATGAACAAGTTCCTCACTCAAACTTTTGTGGCACTCTGATTGGGCGGCCGTGGCTGTTGTATTTTGCCGGAGGGGATGGGGAGCAAGGCGCGGCAGCAGCACGACTATGGGCAGCTGCACTACCACGATTCTGCTTCTTCCTGGGTGCTGCAACCTCTGAGGCCTTGCGCTTGCCTCTTTGGGACAATTGTATAGGTTTTTTGGTGTTGCGCTCCCTCTGTTGACGCTCTTTTTTGGCCTTGCGTTCGGCAACCTCCTGAGCCTTCTCAGCCTTCCGCTGCTCACGCTCTTCCTTCTCCCTCAACTTCTGCTCACGCCTCTCCTGTGCAATCTTCTCCTTGTACAGCTTATTGGCGTGCCTCAGTTCAGCCATCTCTGCTTTTTTGAGC